GACCATAGCTGGGGCGACTAATTAAATATATTTTCTTTTGTTAGTGGTTCTGGAATCCGCTCGATGAATAATTCGTAGTAAATAGTTAGGCCTATACCTAATATGTAATGTAAAAAAATGTTTAATTGTTTGTCATTAAAAGCAGAACTACTTTAGTGTAAACTTGACAAACAGTTTGTACAAAAAGTTTGTACAAAAAGTAAAAGTATAGGCCTAATTTCCTATTTTATTGTTCGCGCTGTTTGCCTATTTAGTTTTTTTTTTTTTTTTTTTTTTACTATCAATGCTTTATTTTAAAAAGTGTAACTTAACATTTAACTCTCCATCTCACTCACTTGAAATAGTATTTCATACCGTACTAAATAATATAAGCAACGGTGTATACAAGAGATGATTTTACAATCAGTTTCAATCTATTTTACGGTGTTAATGTAGGCCTACCAAATATTTAACCGGTTGGTGAGTTTTCGATAGCCTCTCACAACCGGTAAACGGAAAAAAAGTCACAGGAAAAAAAAACACAGAAAAAAAGTCACAGTTTTTGCTAGGAAAAAAAGTCACAGAAAAGAAGTCACAGTGGAAAAATTTTATCGGAAAAAAAGTCACAGAAATAAAGTCACAGAAAAAAAGTCACAAAAATCTTTTTAGAAATATTTTTATTAATTTGTTAAGAATTGTAAAATTTTGTATGTTTATGGTTGTGGGTTGTATTTTTTGATAGCATAAATTATTTATAGACGTTAAAAGCATTATGATTTATAACAATTGTAAGTAAAAATACTCTAAGATAATTTACACAACAATCTCAACTTGTTACGTATTTATTTAAATACGCGGTAGAAAAGTTAATTATAAAAGAAATTTAGGCAAATTTTGCCGTAGGCTATTCTCTGGTCGGCCTCTCCTCAGTAGGCATTGTCCGAACATATTTTGTGTTGTTGACGTTACGCGTCAATGACAGCCTTTGAACCTTGTCGGCTTTCTGTTTTGATCCTAAGTTTTGTTATGTAATGAGCGTGATAAATGTGGGCAGTAAAGGTGGTTGAACTAAACATAACTATTGTTGCCATGAGTTGAGGGCAGCAAGTCAGATGAACTTACCATTTCACGGTAATTTAATATTGGTATTTAAAAAAAAAACACGATGAAAACCGTGGACTTTGGAGCATTCTATTAAATGCTACTAATCTTAAGTTTAAAATAATTACAATCTACATACTTCATAATAAATATTTTAAGATGAATTATAAAAATTCCTATGCGTATACAGCCTACACACATTACATTACATTTAATTAATCCTAAGTTAATTTGCACTCTCTAAATATTTATTACATAAAAATATTAACAAATATCATGCAAATATATATTTGTGACTTTTTTTCCTGTGACTTTTTTTCCTGTGACTTTTTTTCCTGTGACTTTTTTTCTGTGTTTTTTTTTCCTGTGTTTTTTTTTTCCTGTGACTTTTTTTCCTACAATCTCACAACCACCAACACTGTTCAGCGAGATGTGACGTAATTTTTAGAGGGTGGGTTCTGGCTTCAGTGTTTCTTCCAGACTTTTTTCTCCGGGGGGGGGGGGGGGGGCACTTGATATTTTCGGGGGGGGGGGGGGGGGCGGTCAACATTTTTCGGGAGGGGGCGGACACTAGTAAAAGTGTATGTTTACTATATAACTTCCATCTCGTTCGGGGGGGGCGGGGGGGGGGGGGCGGGGGGGGGGGGGGGGCGGGGCGGTAGACTCTCCCCCTTCCCCCCCCCCCCCCCCCCCCCGAAGAGATGCCTGGAAGAAACTCTGTCTGGCTTTGTTTGAGAATGGGCCTACGATGTTAGATTCAACACGAGGACGTTCACATGAACCCGAACCCCCTGTACACAAACTCGATTAATTTCCCCCCTCCCCCTCAGTGTAGACGTCAATGGTGGATGACCCCAAATAGGCCAACATACTTTATATACTGACTATATTCCGTATACGAAAAAGTAAAAATAATCGGAATAAACTTTTTATGGTTCATTGATTCGTATGCATTTGTGCGTGAAGGGTGGTGGAAATGGAGGTTGTCAGGCTTGCCTCTTGAAGTGTATTACTTTTACAATATGGGCAGGGGTGAGTCATTGTAATCGTTAGGGGTCACCCACACGGGGGGGGGAGGGGGGGGGTCCGAAAAAAATTGACTTTTTCGGACGCGTATGGACTTTTATAAGGGAAATAAGTGGATTTTTGTGGGGGTGGGGGGGGGGGGTCCAAAATTTTAAAAAGTGTGGACGTCATAAATGGATGACCCCTTAATAAAAAAAAAATGGTATGGAGGTGTTGGATAAAAAAAAACGTTATAATTTAGTGTACATTATAAAAAAAATGGTCTACCGCAGAGGCATTTGGAGCAATTAACAATAGAGTCCTTTCATATGACGTCACGTCCGTTCGTGATACCTACGCCCGCCGCCACAGTGGTGTACACAAGACGTAAACACAATCAGCTGTTCGCCAGCGCTGGACGTGTTCACCAGCGCTGGACGCGTTCACTGTATGTAAAGAACCGCACCCGCGGAAAAGGAAAAATACGTTAAAAAACTTGAACTCTTAGGAATTGAAGATCCTTATACTGTTATTGACAGTTTCGTATAAATAAATATGTGGACAAAATTTCTAAATAAAAATACTGTTAGTAATACTGTTTGCGTTTAGAGTTAAAGTAGCCGAATCTGATCAAATGCAGTTCTCGATACTTTGTTTCATGTAAGGACAGTAAAATAACAAACTTCATTTTAATTATAAAAGATAACTATTAATAAAACAAATATGCTCGACCTTCACAAATACTAATAGTAAAAGACAAAGTCAAAAGTAATAGGCCAATAAGAATAACAAGATCTAATAGTAGGCCTAATACCTGGCTCCGCTGGGTAGACATAGAATCTAGAATCTACTTCTTTACTTAAATTTAATTACTTTAGATCTACATTCGATTCAAAATACACCCATAATAAATCAAAAGTAGTCATAATAGGCCTAATAAAGCATTTAATTGTCTCTAAGATTTAAAATCTCGCTCTATTATCTAATCATTTTTTTAGCAAACGAAATTTTCTGAAATTGAAATAGATTATATGACTAGACTTAGATCTAGAATCTGCTACTTAAATTAAATTGTAAAACTTTATACAAGCATGTAGTTGATATTATTGTAGTAGAAGGCTTTAATAAATTACTAAGGCCTACCTACTTTGTTGTCTTTTTACAGCAATATGTATCTGATACTGGACTGAGTTTAATTAAATTCAAATTCATATCTAGTAATTGGTCTACTAAGTTTTTGTAGCCTAGTAGTACAATCTAGATCATACCAGCCAACAACAAATAACCACATTATTATTATTTGGTTAATGATTAGGCTAATTTTTTTTAAATCCACTGTTTATAAAAGAAACAAATCAAGCTAGAAACATTATAAGTGAGATGGTTTAGAATAATAACAATGGACCCAGTCTACAATTGATACAATTGCAGGTCTACATAGGGCCTACAGTCTAGTAGTTTACAGTAGGCACCTAGTGTGTAGCTAGTATACTAGTGTGTAGCTGTCCAGAGTTAAGATTCTTAATGCCTTAATGCTTTCCCCTGATAAGCCATGTGTGCTATAAATGACATAACATGACACCGAGGTGAGAAGTGTTGAGGGGAGAGCAGTGGGACTTTCCCCTTTGTTCTCCCTGCTGGGCCCTGAGGGTCAAAATTATATAAGAAATACTATCTCTGTGGGGCTGGGTATCACGGAGGTGAGACATTTTCAGGGGAGGGCAGGGCAGACTCCTCTTTGGTTTTATTGTGGGCTAGATCCAGGTGGGGGCAGCCATTATGAGGGTTGAACGTCAGTATTAATGTGTCTGATCACTTCCCTGCTGGATTATAAGGGTCTTAAATTGTATAACATGCTACCCAGATTGGTTATTACCCATGGATTATATTAGCCGTTGTAGTGTGGTTTTTGTAGGAGTTAAGTGGTCTCACGTTTGCTACAGTAGATAACCTCTAATATATTACTGCATTTGATCAGCTTCGTCTACTTAAACTCTAAACGCAAACGGTATTACTAACAGTATTTTTATTTAGAAATTTCGGCCACATATTTATATTATCCACGAAACTGTCAATAACTGTATAAGGATCTTCAATTCCTAAGAGTTCAAGTTTTTTAACATATTTTTCCTTTTCCGCGGGCGCGATTCTTTGCATACGGTGAACACGTCCAGCGCTGGCGAACAGCTGATTGTGTTTACGTCTGATGTACACCACTGTGGCGGCGGGCGTAGGTATCACGTGATTTAGGTCACGTGTTTGCAAGGACTCTATATATTTTAAGTTTGTTATAATCTGGATAGATCTAATTATTTATATTATAATATAACTAGGGGTCGTTCATAAGTGACGCCAAACTCAAAGTGGGGGGGGGGGGGGGGAGGTGGGTTTTTAATTTTAGTTTGTATCGTACCACTTTTGCATTTTAAAAAAGTAAAGCTAGTAAACTGAATTTTGCCGGGGTTTATTTTTTTTTTCGTTTTTGAAAATTATTTTAACACATTGTAATGGAAAATTATCAAAATACTCAAATTCCCCCGACTACAGTCAATATTTTAAAAATAAACAGATCGATGTTAAAAAAAACATACACAATTAATTAAACCGCAATTTTTAGTGGGGAGGGGGCGACACCCTTATTAAAGAATCTTAGCTTAAAACCGATTTAACACAAAAATATAGGCTATATTCCACTAAATGGTTTACATTAGAGATCTAAAATCTAAATCTAATATAACTCAATTTGAAGTAAAAAAAAATAGTTCTAAAATATTAATCTGGATTTTTTACTTTATAATTATTTAATCTTCACATCAGGCAAAGATAATGATCATCATCTATGCAAGAGTGAGAACCTCCGCCAAATTCAACTAACACATGTTTTTTAGTTTAGAGTGTCTTCCCTTGGTCTGTTTAGAAACAAAATGGCGAGCATTTTGGACAGATTTCATGATTTCATTTGGAATGAACAATTTTGGCTGGGTGATGACGCACGTTGGGAGGATTTTATCAGTTCTGATCCTTCAGTTTATTACCCAAAAATAAGTCACATGAACTGGTCGATTGTTGTTGGAATTGTGTTGGTATTCGTTAGACTTATTTATGAAAGGTAGGTAGATCTAGATCTCTGAGCAGTTGAGCTGAGTCAGTGACTGACAGGAGACAGACTCAGAATTGTCACTTGTTCACTGAAACAGTGAAGATTACATTTAACGGACTCCATTCGACGTAGATCTAGATCTACAGATTTTTAAAATATGTAGATCTACTTTTATTAATTTTTAGACTTTTAGGTAAAGTAAAGTGTTAGCCTATCTGAATTGAATCATTGATTGAATCAAAGGCCTCAACATTACTCAACAACTTCAACAAGTTACAATGGATTTGACTTGAATTTTGAATGGACCTGAACATGACATTTTTTGAAAATCAGAAGTTCCATTAAATTAATTAGTATAATTAAAAAAATTAGGGCCTAGGCCTAGGCCTTTTAAATTATAAATAGGCCTACTGTTTGATTTTTGTCAGACTTTACTAAAAGCTTTGGCTTGTTTGACTTTTTAAATTAAAAATTTGGGTTATTTTGAACTTAACCAACTATTTGACATGTTAGACTTTTTTAGTAATTTGTGTACCTAAACAATAACATAGAATCTTGTTAAAAAAAAGTAAAAAAAAATAGCTAAAATAATTTTGTTTTTCCTATTCTTCAAGTTGTATTGAGACTGAGACATAAACAAAGACACTCTGCTATTTGATAGACTCGCACAACATTAGGAAATATTGTAGATGCGCAGAAAAGTAATATTTTTATAATTTTGATATTTATTATTTAAAGTAGCAGACACAGTACTTTATAAACATTTTGTCCAGTAAGCATTATACTCGTAGGCCTATACATAATATATAAGCCTATCTAATATACAAAGATAAAATGGACTCTGTATGTTTGTATGTAAAATGTATGTTTGTGTAAAACATGCGCCACATAGTCAATTTTGATGAAACTTTATATATAAGTGTTATATCAAATGTGTAGGTCTACGCAACTTTTTCTGTGATTTCCAGTAACCAGAAGTGTAATTTATTCTACTTTCAGTTATTCAAAAGCTTATAACTTGAGTACTGTTTTTGATAGATAGATGAAATTTCACATAAGTAAAAGATCCAATTTTCTGTTTTCTTTCAAATATTAATTAATTTCCAGCGACTGGAAGTAGTACTTTATGCTATTTCCAATTTCTAAAAAAAAAACCGCATATGAATATATTTAGTACTTTCCCCATTGTTTGCTGTTCACTTGGTGCGCAATTCTTTTTTCTATGAGATTCTGTTCTATTTAAAAATTGAGTAAAAATCATGTCTACATTCCGAGTTGCCATCCCCGGTAGTGTTACATAAGAATATTCGAGAAAGTTTAGGGAGATCACTTCCAGTTTTATTTTAGTTTGTTTTGATGTTGGCAAAAAAACTATTATCTAATTAGCATGGTTTGTAGGTAAAACACAGGTATTTAACTACCTTTTATGTATTTTATATACTGAATGTAGGGTTTATTAATTTTTATTTTTTATCAACAACAGTTTAGAAAAAAGTAAAGTTCCCTTCAAACCTGACGGTCTATAGGGCAAGTGAAGTAGAGTTCACTTGTTTCTGTGACCTCAGCATATAAAGAGAGAGTGTGGTCAGCACTATACCCAGCCGCCTTTACTTTCCCTAACGTGAGTTAGGTACCCATCAGAGTTGGGTGGACTCAGGGACGGTCTACTGCCTTGAACCCGGATTCGAACTCGAGACTTTCGGGTTAGCAGTCCAGCTCTCTACCACTAGACCACTCCGTCCCCAACTGTTTAGAAGTCATATTTAAATGTCCTCTATGTTTATGTTTACCTTTGCGTTATTGTTTATGTTTGTGTTTGCTATTGTGTTTTTGTTTGTTGTGTTTTGATTGAGGTTAGGGTTAAGTTTATTTAGAGTTAGAATTAGTGTTGTGTGTTATTTTCTCAAATGTCCGTATTTGAATATAGACATTTAATTGGAAGAGTAATATAATTCCTAAACCCGGACAATGCTGCTTTATAAACACAACTCACGGTCCTTTACAGATAGGTTTTTTACAGAGGCCAGTGGACTGCCTAGAGGCTATATAAATCTATGGCTGTTGATGGAAAAAGCTGTTATCTAACATATTTGCTGACTGACCTGAATATACATTTGTTCACATGGGAAAATTGATGCCCATTGACTTGACAAACACTGAAAGAGTTAAGAGTAGTGGTTCCTGCAGGAAGTTTAGATTTCAAGTAGTTTAATCCTGTTGTTGACACTTTTGAAATAATATTCATGTGCTTGATGTTGAGTGATGACAACATTTGTCCTTTTAGCAGAATAGTACAGTCATAATAAAAACATAGGCTCATGTAATGAGTCATCACATAGGCATATATTTGTTATGATTGTCATTATGACATATTAACTTTAAAATAAAATTCAGGATTTTCATGTCCTTAACATAAATTGAGATCTTATAAAATATTTCAGTGTTCTAATCAAGCCTCTGGGCCATTGGTTGGGACTCAAAGAAAGAAAGTCTATTAGTTTAAAAGAGTCACCTCAGTTGGAGGCAGCATTTAAAACATATAAAAACAAAGTTCCACGCAATGAAGTTTTGGTAAGATTATAATAGTTTTAAAGTAATTTGCTTCAATTATTAAATTTCTAAAAAAAACTGATATAAAACAAAGTTGAACTCTGTAGCAGGGTTTTGTCAAATAATATATATTTATTCCTTATTATCTAGTCTGTGCATCTTGTTCACATAATAAAAATTGAGTTCTAATTTTTTAACTTTAGAAACTTGTAAAGCAAACAGATATGACAGAGAGACAAATTCAGAGATGGTTTTTCAAGCGAAGAATTTTACAAATGCCTTCATCAATGTACAAATTTAGAGAATGCAGGTGAGCTGTGTTTAAAAAAATATTTTAATATATTTTATATTCTTCATAATTATATTGTTTACTGTAATTTCTACACCTCATTAAAGTAAAAGTTGTCAAGTTTTAAAATACTTGGTAATTCAATAATGATAATAAAGAGAGTCTTCAGTATATACATTGGATTTAAAGTAGCTATGCAAATCATTTTTTAAAGAGTTACTTCCTTTGTATCTCTGATTTCATTATGTTTATTTTATTGTAATAAAAAAATAAATTAAGCATTTCTCTAATTACATAAATAGTGATTGATTTCTTATTGTTTTTTATTACAGTTGGCATGTATTGTTTTATACAACATCTTTTTGTTATGGAATGTATGCTCTCTGGGATGTAAGTAATTTTCCTTTCTCTATTTTATTCCTTCACAGTTATATTTATCTCATTATATATTTTTAACATACAATATATTTCTGCTATAAAAATAATATTTGTATAAGTTTGATAATGATGTTCCTCTTGTTTGTTTAGAAACCTTGGTTGTGGGTTACTGTTAACTGTTGGGTTGGCTGGCCAAAACAGGTTTGTTTACTTTGATTTTATTAGTTTGGTTTTTAAAGTCGTTATGTTGAAGAATTTTAGAATGCTGAAATGTTATTTTTGTTAGAAGATAATTAGTCTTAATAATAATAATACCTTGAGTTAAATCAATATTCTTTGATTTTTACAAAATAACTGTTTACTTAAAAATTAAAGAATCCTCTTTAGCCCTAGCAATCCATTGGGCAGATGAAGTAGAGTTCATCTTTCTTGACCATGGCATAAGAATGGAAGGTGTGGTCAGCACTTTGCCCAGCTGCCTTTACTTTTCCAAACCTGAGTTAGGTACCCATCAGAGCTGGGTGGACTCAGGGACGTTCTACTTACTTGGAGCTTGATTCAAATCCCAGACTTTTGGGTTAGCAGCCTAGAGCTCTCTACTGCTTATGCCACACTGTCCCATGTTTACTTATGTAGATATCAGATAAACTGATTTGCATTTTCAATTACCCTTCAGTGTACTCTTTTAAATCCAGTGTTTATTGGGAGTACATCTGTTGCTTTGTACTTTTCATACTACACAGGGATTATTTTAACTAATCAATAAAATTTAAGGTCAAGCTTTTTTTTTTGTGTTATTTTTATGTTTAATTTTGTTATCCAAATTTGTGAACAAATATACTTTATAATATTGTGATATTTTTTTCTCTCTACAGCACATTGATAATGACGTGTTTAATCTGTATTTGGTAGAACTTAGCTTTTATTGGAGTTTACTTTTTGCCATATTCTTTCAAAGAGATTATCAGAAAAAGGTAGGCTATGTTTTTTGTAAATAGAAATTTTTAGATCATCAGTAGAATTATTTAAATACATGATATTAATCCTCTGAGTATTAGAAGTAATTGAATCTGGCCTTTGGTACCAAGCAAAGGGAATTAACATCATAAAAAAGCAATATATATATATGCAGAAAAATGATGATTATTTAATTAAAATACTACACAATAATTATTTCTAATCATACCAAGCATGGGCAAACATTGAATATTGGATCATACATAGCCAACAGCACCATTTTGTTTAATTTTAGTTAATTTGTTTTTTTGGTTTTTGTTAGAATAAAAATATCTTGAAAGAAGTTAAAATCTCCTAAAGAGCATCAAGATTTTGAACTAATTCACTTTTACTACCTTTTAGTTTCCCAAAATAATTCATAATTATTATTGGCAATATCATTCAACATCAGTTATTCAATCAAACATACAAACACTATACAACAACAAAAATTACTTGAGACTTCCTGTTTATTAATAGGCATTTCAAAACTCCTTAATAAGAAGATTTCTATTCACTAGGCGAGGCTGAAAACAGCATGTTATTTACGGCCTGATTCAGCCACAATGCAATTTAGAGGATCAATAAGAGAAAATAATGCTATAATTAAAAAATACTCTGTGTTAATGTTATTATTGTTTATGTAGAAGTTTTTTAAGACTTCAGAACATCTTGCTACATTGTTTGTAGATTTATTGATCGACATTCTATTCTTTAATTTTAATTGTAATAATATATGCTTACAATATTCCAGCACTTTGCTAAAATATGGTTGTAGAAAGTGGAATTCAACCAGTGTGTTTATATTTTATTATGAAAAACTCAGTAGTTTGAAGAAAATTTGAAGTATAATTGTATCTAATTCACTAAGTGCAATGTCTTTTTATAACAGGATAAAAAAGAGATGGTCGTCCACCACCTTGTGACTATCTTGCTGATATATTTTTCATGGGCATGTAACTTTGTCCGTGTTGGCAGTCTAGTCCTTGTGGTACATGATTTTGCTGATCCATGGCTAAATGTAAGAACTTCTTTAATTTGTTAAAATAGTTTTTTCTTCTTATCTATGCAAGTAGACGCTTTATATTTTAAAGAAAACATAATGACTACATTTATAACTGAAATTTATGAGTAACTCTTAAATCTTTTTTATCCTTCAAAGATTGCAAAAATGGCCAAATATGCCAAATATCAAACAACCTGTGAAATATTTTTTGGAATGTTTATATTAACTTGGATTATCTCTAGAATTTTTGTTTATCCATTCTGGTAAGTTACCGTTAAATAAAATATTTGCAAAAAGTTGCATGTTAATAAAGTAAATTTTATTGTTTATTTTTATATCGCCATAAAATTTTTTATAAAATTTTCTTTTGATTCATGTATTTGCAATTTTATTTTTAGTATACAAGTTATACCAATGCATTTGATTTAATGCTATGCTAACATTTTAAAATATTAATTTTCTTTTTAAATATGTATTAAATAATAGTTTTTATTTTCATCTAGGGTGTTAAATGCCTCAGCTGTTGAAATTCATGACTATGTCACAACATTTCCTGCATACTGGTTCTTCAATGGACTTCTATTTGTTCTACAATTACTGCATATTATGTGGACCTACCTAATACTTAGTATTGCCTTCCAAAAGCTTACACTAGGCTCAGTAAGTCAATGTTTAATATCATGTATCCCTGACAACTTCTACCATCCTTGTACTCTGGTTATATAGTTTAGAACTACTGTTGACGGTTCAACATGATGCTTTTTCCCCCATCATCCCCCACCAAGCCCTTCCCTACAGAGTTCTTCTCACAACTAACCAACTTACTACCTCGCCTACCCCATTTATACCAAAACTCCTGCCCACCCCTAAGCAGTCCCCTTACATAGTATTTCAAAAGATTTTTATCATTAGTGTCTTTAAAATTATTGAGCTTAAATAAAATTATTTTTCATTTTTATACACAGTCAAAGTGAAAGTATATGACATGCATAATATTTTTGCTAAAACAACAGTCTGTTTCATTATTAATAATTGCTGAAGTGATCATTAAATTTAAAATACTGTTTAACTTACAGCCTCAAATACAAGTTTTGATGAGTTAACTGTTTTGACTTAGTGCTTAATTTTCAGCATTTTATGTAAAAAAATGCGAAGTTCCCTTTTGCACTTTATGGCCGATGGGGCAAGTGAAGTAGAGTAAATTTGTTTTGTTGACCTCAGCATATGAAGGATTAGTGTGGTCAGAACTATGCCCGGCTGTCTTTACTTTCCATAACATGAGTCAGGTACCCATCTGAGCTGAGTGGACTCAGAGATGTTCTAGGGACTTGAACTTGGTATAGAACTCAAGATTTTTATGTTTCGAGTTAAGCTTCTTTTCCATGTTAGTCAATAGGATATCATTGAGCCCACCCAGCTGTTGATATTGCTCATTAGAGTACAAGAAAGTACAGTATGCTATTCATAGTGCAGGATACATAATCTCAACATTTACTGATGTCAAAGAAACTTATGAACCCAACATTTTTTTAATGCACTATCGACTCTGATCTATGTTTCTTGGAACTTATTTTATGATTATAACTGATCTGTTCTAAGTATTAGATACTGAATGCAATGTTCTAATGCTGTGTATCTGTGTCCACCAGATTGAGAAAGACATCAGGAGTGAGTCAGACAGTGAAATCAGTGACTCGACCACAGAGGAAACCACAAAGAACAATAAAGCAGCTGTAACCAATGGTGTTTCACAGAAAGGAGCGCAACATTCAAACAATCTTTAGAACCACAATTATTTTTATCATATAATGTTGACCAGTCTACAAGAAATTGAGTGAACAGTTACTGTAAAGATGGAGACTTCTGTTTGTTTGCATTTTCCATATCTCCAAAAGTGTGTATATTATATGTCATAATATGTCATTGTTAATAGAAGCTATTTTATAACTGGAGTTTAGATTGGCTATACAATTTATAACTTGGTACTTTTAATGTTCACATTTTACTTATATTTAAGTGGCTTTTATGTTATGATTATTCGGTTTTAGTTACTTTTTACTCAAAGAAAAAAAGGGTAATTCCTTGTGCATCTTAAACTCTACCTCTTAGAAAGATTTTACTGTCTATTCAACTTTAATTTCAGCTCATACTTTATATATTATTTTTGAAAATTTTAATAAGATCCTTTTAAATTACAGGAACTGATGGATTATTTTTTTTTAATCTTTAATTTTAAACATCTGATTTTTAATACCATCATTATCTCCCATTTGAGTAAGGGCTGCAAATTACAACTATCCAGAGTTCTTTCTCCTGATTCATTAACTCCATCTTATTCCTTCCACCTGTGAACCATCTTAATGGTATCTGCCTCAAGTTCTTGTCACCTTGAAGGCTTCTTTTCTGCTCACCTTAGAAGTACCGTGGCTGGTGATATTTATAGTGTGTGCTCTGCCCATCACCGCCTTCTGATTTTCATCTTCATCCAGGAGTTGGAAAGTTTTTGGTCAAAGGTTGTTTCTTCTTCTGTTGTCTGGCCAACTAATCTGGATCATTCTCCTCAGAATTTCTGGGCTTCCGCTATGGTTACTCTGGTCATCTGTCAAGTCTTTACTTCATACTGACTTAACGTTGCTGTTAAAGGTTCAGATATTTGCTGACATTAAATATATTGTTATCTGCGTGATGCTTTCATCTGCTGACAGTTTAAAGTGAGTTTTTGTTTTTTAGTGAATCAACTTAATGTGTGATAGGTTAGATAACCCTCTCAGATAGCACATTTCCAGTTCTAATAGTTTTGTACTTGCATTCTTGAAATGTATGGTTTTAGTTTTCTCATTTTAAACTAGAATCAAGTTTTAAAATTGCATTATTTTAAAAATTTGGCAAAAGATATAATTAGCATTTTAATAATTTAAGTAGTTCCATATCAATGGGCATTTTAAACTATAACGAAGTTCAAAATTTTAATGTGTTGATGTCACTGTGTCTAATTTTGATATATTGTAACATATATTTTTACTCTTTTGGTACGTCTACTAGTTCTTTAAAGTATATCTTAACTGTTCATTTAATGGCAATTGTTTATTGTAAGGCTTTGTCATGTGCCTCTATAAAGATTAGATGTTATATTAATGTAAATATTTTTAAATTGGAAAAAAAAATATTTTTTATCTATCGACCCAGCTAGCCTTTTCCAGTTTTCCCAGATAAATTTACATGCATGTTCTTATACTATAAATTTTAGTTTTTAGTAGCTGAAGTTTCATAACTTCTTGATTTTGTGTGTATATATTTAAAATAAAAATTAATAGTCAGGCATGTTTTTATATAAAATTTCATATGAACGGAGTGCATAAGACCCCTATGTTTTCATAAATTCTGCATTTTATGCTATTATATCAATTCTTTAATTTTTCCCCATTCTTATTCTGTTTGTTTTAATCCATAACTTATGCTGGCTTTGTTGATTTGTTGCTAACTAATTAACATAATTAGGATCAAAAGTTTAATATTTCACTTTTTGTTTGTTTGTCCGCCACTATGACTGCTCATTACAGTAATAACTTCCTGTGAATTAACGAGTCGTGTTTTTGAGCATCAAGCAAATACTTTCATTGTCATTAATTCACAATCTTTCCTGTACCAGTATTTGTACAACTCAAACTCTTAATGGAGATAACTACATTTACAAATTACTTCTTTTTTTAGCCCTTTTTTACATACTTTTTTATACAATTATGGTTTGTTATATATTTCCAGTTTGATGTAAGTTTAAATTATTTCCTGGATTCTTAATAACTTGAAAACATTTAAAAATACTAAATGTTTTCAGGATATTTAGTTATACAGTCACCTAAGTCACTAACATTTGTCAACCCATTATGACATTGGCCATAGTTTTGTTTCCACATACATAATATTGTCACTTGCAACTTGTTCTTACCACAAATAACTTGTTGTAATACATAAAGTTGTTTACAGCAACTTGCTCAGATTAAAACAATTTGAATAACAACTAGTTCTAATACATAAAGTTGCCTCTCATAACAATTTAAAACATGGTGACAGTTAATTAATTACTAACGGCTGTGAAACAGTTTGTTTGTTAAACATTGAAATAATCTTCCAATCACAATTTTTGCTGAATACAAAATTGTTTTTTTCTTAATTGGTTTTTGTAGATTAAGTAAACCTAATAAGCAGAATCATATTTAAAGTTACTTAAATTATTTTTTTTTTTATTCAGTTCACAGTTTTCAAATGGTGTTTAAGAAATTAAAATTTTTATTTCCAGTTGGCTTCTAGTCAAAGTGTGATATACTTGCTTTATTTAACTAAAATAATAAGATAAAATATTACTAAACAAGGTTATTCATCATTTAGTTGTAAAAATTGGATGACATAGTGCTATAATTATTTGGTGTACAATAGTTCCCTGTGACTATTTTTGAACATATATTTTTAAATTCTTTTAAATTAAACTTCTTTGCAAACATAACATTTTAAACTGTTAGCTTAGTTAAAAAATTATATATTTTTAGTTAATTTAATGTTATTTAAACAGGTATTAATCAGAATTAAAACATGATACAGCTGATTTAAGAAAATAGAGACAAGAATTTGTGTCCTTAAAAAGAAACAGTTTAAAAAATAGTCACTCTTTATTTTGCTGAGTTTGTTTGTAATATATTTTAATTTATATGTTGAACCTGAATTTGCAAAGAAAGCAGAAACATTGTTCTTTGCTATCAAATATTCCATGTTTTGATTTGTGTGCAATTTATTTGGCAAATATCAAGAGGTTTCTTTTTTTTTTACATTTCAACTTTTATTAAAAGTAAAAGTAGCTTATTTCTACTTAATTACTTCATTGTGTTCCTTGTTTTGTTTTAAAAGCATTTAAACCAGGATTTAAAATATAGACATTTTGCTTATTAGAACTAACACAAAACAACCATAGAAAAACTAATCCTTATAATTTCACTTACTCCCGAAAAGTTATAAAACATTTGATTGCACTTCTGTTTAAAATTCTTTTAATCTTACTATTTCTATATAAAATGCATAATATTTGTCATTATTCGTGCCACCAAGTATTGAATATATATATATATATATATATATTTATATATATATATATATATTTATATATATATATATATATATATATATATATATATATATATATATATATATATATATATAAATATATCTATATATATATATAGCATGAAACTATGCAGAGTAAAGATGATAAGTTGGCCAATACAGTCATTTTTATGTTAAATTTTAAAGTATTTGCTTCCTGTGTATAAAAATAATTGTCCTAAAATTTCCTTGTATAAAATAAAAAGCATAGTATGCTGCTTTCTTTGTTGGCGCAATTACTAAGTTACGAATACTGGATGAATTCTTCATTTTAACTTGTTTTTTATTTGTACACAGGCATTTTATGTTCTCATAGAGTAAATAAAATAGACCAAATGTTAACATAAAATATTGATTATTTATTAAAGAATAATGAAACAGCTGTCTCTGTACCTAATTTTAGCTCCTAACAATGTCCAGCTAGCTAGTAAATCGAAGACATTTTAAAATCTTAGTTCTTTTTTTATCATATTTTTTCAAATAATCAAATAGTAAAACAAGAATTTGATATCAAAATATTTTTAATATGAGGCCAAGGAAGGTCAAAGAAACAGTATATCAGTGTTTAATCATTACAAATGTGTCATAAAAAATGTATTTCACATGTAATTTGAGGTGATCTATTGTTTAATTATTTTTAATGTGTAATAATTTGCTGGACTTGTCACTTTTGAATGAGTTAGGAGCAAATTTTAGCTGTTCTAGTCGAGTTCTGTTGTGCACAGTTTAAATATGTCATCTAGTCTTGTAAGTCTCCTGGTTTTGTTTATTTTTGTACAGCTTGTGTATTTTTAGAACCACTGGGTGGCATGATATGATAACTTATGCTATTCAGGTCCATAGGACGAAAGTGTATCTTAGGTACTAAATCAGTATTGATTTTTGAAGGCTAACTAGTCTTACGCAGCTTCTTAAAGATTGTAATTTATAGCTAGACCTCTGTCATGTTATAAAACAGAGAAAAGCTTAGTCTAAAATGTGAAGTTTAGACTATTTATATTTGATAGCTAGACCTCTGTCATGTTATATAACAGAGAAAAGCTTAGTCCAAAAAGTGGAGTTTAGACTATTTATATTTGATAGCTAGACCTCTGTCATGTTATATAACAGAGAAAAGCTTAGTCCAAAAAATGGAGTTTAGACTATTTATATTTGATAGCTAGACCGCTGTCATGTTATATAACAGAGAAAAGCTTAGTCCAAAAAATGGAGTTTAGACTATTTATATTTGATAGCTAGACCGCTGTCATGTTATATAACAGAGTACAGCTAATTCCAAATGTGAAGGCTTAGACTGATTGTATATGATTGCTAGTCTTTGTCAGGTTATATAACAGCACATCATTTTCAAAATGTGAGGGTTCGAGCTCTTTGTTTTATAACAAAGCAACCATCTCCCAATTACTTAAAAAGACCGCTGCTTTGTAACATTACAACTTATCCCCACAAATGAGTTCAACTTTACCTTGTAATTCTACAGCAATTATTTCCCATAATCTAGCCAGTTATATATACCACTCTCATAAAGTATTCTGTACAAGATTAAAGGACTTGATACATTAACGTGTAGTATTGCAGATTAAAGTATGATAGACTTCCCTAAAGAAATGTATTATGAAAAAAATGTCTACCGGTAATTTAAAACATTACATTTAAATCTATAACATTCGTGTTTGCATTACTACACTTAGAAGTTTAATTTATTTTGTATTTTATACCTATATATATTTTTTACTGTCTTTTCACTTTAACTGTAAACAACTTTATATTTATAAAAGCTAGCCAGGTGAACTCTTGAATTGTTTTAATAAATGGTTGGTTAACGTTATATTTAACATATGTACTTTTATTATGTTGTAATATTGGAGGCTTGGTAAGATCAGGTTTAGTTTTTGGATGTCTCAAAGAGATTGTTTTAATATCCAATATCAGATTTATTTACCTACACTATGAATTTCCCAGTTGCACTTGTAGTCTGCAAAAATCTCTGGTCATTTTTTCCTTATGTCTAATTTGGCTGTTGACAGGTTACTTTTATTTTTACTTTGTGTTTTCTTTAAATTTAAGATAATATTTTTATTTATAAACAACGATTAAAAACTACAATCTTTTAGCTGCTTTATTAATTATCCCTTTAATAAGAAGTTTAATGTTTAAATATGCAATACCTTGTTCAATATTTTAAGACAGTTTTATTTATTATTTTTTACAGTAAATTAAATTTCTATCTTTTAAGGTAGCCTTAATAATAACTTCCCTTTGATCAGAAATATCTATTGTAATACATTCAGAATTTCAAAAAAAATTTCAGTGAATTTATTTTTAGTTGTATTCATTTAGTTGCTGTGTATAAAGCTGTTTTAAAAAAAAAACTTGACTTGATTAAAACATTGTCTGTTCAGAAATTTACTTTCTTAAAGAAGTCCCTGAAATGTCAAAATATCTGTAATGCTTTATTTCACCTGTCTTCCTTGCAAATTGGTTCTATATCAATTTGTCCTACAGTTTGCATTGTTCATGATCCATTTGTATAAAATGAGGTTTTTGAAAAATATTTTCTAATACTAAGTAAAACAAGACGTAACTGGTGTTATGACTCAAGACATTAATTTTATAGGGAATATACTAATAAAGCAACTTTTTAACTGCATATTTGTATATTAATTTGGAAAAATTTGAAAGGTGACAATGTTAAAAATGTGTTGTTTCCCTTGATTGACATTTGACAAAATTCTTCTCCTCAAACTTTTGTGTTTCTCATAGCTGAATACATGTTTCAGATCCCAAGAACCAACCTATTTATAGCATTTCCTAGTTAACTGACCGTTACCTGGCAGTTGTGACAATAGCTTTCACTTTGAAATATTTACCAGTACAACTAAATCAATAAATAATTTCAGTGGGCTGTTCTTAAAATCAACTAAACATCAAAATGTTTCATGTTTTTTTTTTTAAACAGCCACAGTGGTAAGCTTAGCAGAGAGGAAGGATTTTATATGACATTTTATTTCATTTCCAGTATGGTTTCCTATCAATCTATTCCAAATTACAGATACACTGGGTATATAATGGTTTGTGTGTTCCTTAAAAATTTTAACATTTTCAGTACCAATATTTTTTTGATTATTAAGTAATGTACATTTTAAAACATGAACAAGTTTCAAAGAACCAGAATAAATCATGAAGTGTGATATAAACAGAATAGTTTTGAGTGTGAAAATTCAAGTTGATTACACAATAGCAGTAAATAATAAAGAAGTGCTAGAAAAATGTAGCTCATTGATTTATTATGCATTGGTTTAAGTTGATTGATGAGAAAATAAACCCCATAATGAATGTGTGCCTGTCTTTTAATAACCTATAACATTGCCTGTAAATTATAGCTTTTCAATAAATAATTTATGAACATGCCCTCGTGTGTTTGTTTTATGTGACGAATATTTATGGGGTATTCCAGTTATAAAAAAAAAATCAATTACCACAAAGTTTGGTAGCAATTCAGTTAGAGATGTAAGATGTTCTATTTAAAAATTGATTACAGTTTTTTGTTTTGTTTTCCAAAATGAATCAAGACATGCCTAAGGTATGAAAATCAATAAATCAAGGAAGCCCTAGTCAAAAACTCAATTTAATGAAGACTAGCCTAAGCTATAAAACTTGATGAATCAAGACTAGCCCTGGCTTGTCAGCAATAAAATTTGGGAAAGTATTTCTGCTGATTTCTTTCCAACGACCACCTTTCTCCAGCTTGGTTAAACAAGATTCAAGGCCATCCTCATGCCAAGGTGCATTCATTGCTTTCTTTCCAAATACGTTGACAACATATCCACCTAGGTTAAAAATAAACGTTTACAGAATATCCAACAAGGTTAAAAAAAAAAACGTTTATAGAATATCCAACAAGGGGTCGTCCATAAATGACGGTGTGTGATGGGGGGGGGGGGGGATTAAGATGGTGCGACGGGGGGGGGGGGGGGAGGTAAAAATCGTCAAAAAAAGCGTTTACACAATATCCAACAAAGTTAAAAAAAAAACGTTTACAACGTATCCAACAAGGTTTAAAATAAACGTTACAGCATATTACCTAGGTTAAAAATAAACACTTTCAACATATCTAACTTGGTTAAAACATGAACGTTTAAAATAAAGTATAAACACAACAAACTATCATTATAAGCTTATTAAAAAAAATTAAATTTTCTTTTTTGAGAATATAATTATTGTAAAAACATAATAGAAGACATTTTTGAAAGTAATTAGAAACATAAATATAGATACATAAATGGGTCAATATTTAAGTACAACTTTTAACGACAAAACTATTTTGTGACCTTAGGGTCATCAAAAACCAAGGTCATACTTTTACAACGATTTTACCCTCCCCCATCACCAACACCTAACCGTCGTCACATTTCTTCACAAAAAAATACAGGCCATCTCCCATCTCTAAAAAATGTCTCTGATGAGCCCGCAAGAATAGCTAATTTTTAACCTAATTAGATATAATCATTAATAACTAATTGGTGCTACATTAAATGATAAGAGGGGAGACAACAAGCTGTTTCATCTCAATCAAACATTCGATCAGTCTCGTTGGTTTAACGCCTGGGAGCGACAACGGATGTTAAACTGGGAAATGGAATTTATACAGAAAATATATACTTTTAACAGCGTCCGTCCCCCGTCCCCCCCCTCCAAAATTTTTAGTCCGCCCCCCCCCCCTTTAAAATTTCAAGTGCCCCCTCCCCCGGTAAAAAAAAAGTCTGGAAGAAACACTGATCGCAAATTTACTGATTGGCTGGTTGGGTTTTAAAACAAATACTCTTAGTCGTATGTAATCTCAACTTCATTAAGAAAGATTTACTAAAAAGTAGATGATAAACAAATATTTAAAAAAAAATATAATAATTAACTTTTAAATGCAGTAAAAATAAATAAATAAAAGAAACTTCATTACTTACTAAGGAAAAATATATCAACTTGTTGGTTTTAATTAATAAACCTTATTTAATTAAGTCACGCCAAACCTACCTGGCTTTACCACGCGAATGATATCGGCAAAACCTGAGCTGGGCAGGTGGTTTTTAGCCATAGCTCCACACATCGCAACAATATCGTAGCTGTCTGCAAGTACAATCTCCATGTCAGTCATATCTGCCTCGTATTTATCAGTTATATTGTCACGAAATGATCTAAACTAATTTTAAGATTCTATGTAAATAAATACAAAGGAATAGGAAACATCTTTCCAGCCATAAAAGTTTGTAAGTTATGAGAAGTGTCTTACGTCGAGGTGATAGAAAATATTACATAACCACAGTAGTTCAAAAGAACGGCTGTCTCACGTAAAATTACAGCTATTGTTGATATGGATGCGTTTGATTTGTGTCAAGATATACACCTCTTTATATTTATTAAATAAGCCTTTATATATATATATATATATATATATATATATATATATATATATATATATATATATATATATGTGTGTGTGTGTGTGTGTGTGTGTGTGTATGTGTGTGTGTGTATGTATGTGTGTGTGGACTACTTTTTTTCTATTTTTCGCAAGCACCAGATTTTCACAAACTAGTTTTAATTAAAGCAATAACACACGGGCGATCCTCACCATTTTCAAATGGCATTTCTTCACCCAGGCCTACAAATTGACAGACGAGTTTGCCGTAGATTCCTTTATTCCTGGCAACCTGAAGCAAACCACTGGCAGCGTCGACGCCATCAATGTTTCTAAAGCCACGCAGGACCAGCTAGACGTAAAGATTGTTTAAAATAATTATTATAAATACATTAATTTACAAATAAAGACAAACAGATTATTTAAAAGAATTATTATGAATACATTAATTTACAAAAAAAGTGATGTTCCCTTATATAACAATAAGTGTTGGTATGGCACTTCCAGTGCAATCGGTTTGTAGAAATATAAAATGTAAAAAAAAAACGGATCCTTACTTGAAATAGGCCTACATGTACAGACCAAAAGGTTTTAGAATATGCTACTTCATAAAGTGAAGCATAACATTAACAAATTCGTATGACTTTGATAAAACAGAAGTAGTATAAAGGAGCAATTCCAGTCACCGGAAACCACCGATTAAGATCTGTTACCTATGAATCAAATTTCATCCACCTTACTGAAACGGTACTCAAGTTATCGGTATTTTAGAAACTGGAAATTGAGTAAAGCAACATTTCCGGTTATCAACGGTCTGTTGAAAATTGAAAATAATCCAAGTATAAAATATTTTACTTGCATATAACATTTCGTCTACCCAGTGGCGTAGCGAGGCCGGGTTTCACCCGGTGCGGCACTTAATGGTGTCACCTCCCAGAGACGTAGCGACCCTTCCCGGGGACAAACTTTCAAATTTTCGATTTGCACCCCCCCCCCCCCTTCGAACTTTCGATTTGCACCCCCTTCAAGTCTTTCTCCATATATTTTGCTATTTTTTGCCTTGGTGTCACCCCCCTAAATGGTGTCACCCGGTGCGGTCCGCCCCCCTCACTACGCCTCTGCGTCTACCAAACTGAAACAATACTCGAGTTATCGTGTTGACACGAAAACTGAGTAAAGTATCACTTCCGGTTACCGGAAGTCTAAATTCAAAGTATTTGAAAAATTGTACGTATGTGATAACCTGTTCTGCTACCAGGCCAGTTCCTGCCGCTATATCTAGGATCTTGGCATCTCGATTATCCTTCAGTAGCTTCACAACTGTTTCTGCCAACACTTTTGGTCCTTGATAATTCAGTGTTTTCATATACTGCAGATAGATTTTTAAAATCCTTAGCCTTTTTATTTTGTGTTTTAAGTGCGTGTAGTATAAGTTATAGCATACATTGGCTTCTGAACTGATATTTTGAGATGAGATTTACAATGAAAATTTCGAATCCCAGATCTGAGTCGTTAGATTGTCTTATAGGCCACCCAGCTTTGATGAAAACCTGATTCAATTAGTGAGGGTAAAGACGGATGGGTATATAGATTTAACTCACTATACTATTCCTTCATATACCGAGTTCACAGAAATAGGTGAACTCTACTTCACCGTATTAACCCGTCATGTCAGAACGGATAAACTTGACTTTTATTTTCATAATTGTTTAGTTTTTGACAACAGTAAATTTCTAGTGAGTTTTCTCTATCAACCAAGTAGTAAAGGGATGAAAGAGTTAATTTACTGCAACAGTTACTGTGTAGTTGAATGTCCTATTTCGTTGAAACTCTTTGTTGTTATGTCCCCTGTTTCACCTGGGTAATGTATTTCAAAGCCATTTGCTGTGAATTGAAAACAGTGCTCAGTTTTCTGGCACTGTTTGTCATGGTAATTGGTATATCGTTGGTTATTGGATACGTGTTATTTTAAGCTTTTTTAATTTCTGATAAATATGCTTAGCTATAATAGTTTTATAAAATCAGCTTTTATTTTTCTGCATAATCGAGTTTTAGTTTTCATTTATCTTTTCTGGCGTATTATCTCCCCTTTTCACAAATGTGCAGTACAGCAGATGTGGGCCAGTTGTCCAGAGCAAACCCCCGTTTAGCTTAATCGATATTGTACTGTCATTGAATTAATTGATTAACTAATTAACATCATTGCGGTCGCATTAGTTCTGGGCACAAAGGTAAAATATGATAATGAATTAACATCACGTGTTCAATGGCACATCTAAGTATTTAAATTACTATTTTTTCTGTTTCAGCACGTAATTCATGCACCTATGTGCTCACTGACAAAATGACAACATGTAATTCATGCAACTATGTGCTCACTTACAAAATGACAATATATAATTCATGCAACTATGTGCTCACTTACAAAATGACAACATATAATTCATGCAACTATGTACTCACTGACAAAATGACTACATATTATTCATTCAACTATGTGCTCACTTACAAAATGACAACATGTAATTCATACACCTATGTGCTCACTTACAAAATGACAACATATAATTCATGCAACTATGTGCTCACTTACAAAATGACAACCTATAATTCATGCAACTATGTGCTCACTTACAAAATGACAACATGTAATTCATGCAACTATGTGCTCACTTACAAAATGACAACATATAATTCATGCAACTATGTGCTCACTTACAAAATGACAACATATAATTCATACAACTATGTGCTCACTGACAAAATGACAACATGTAATTCATGCAACTATGTGCTCACTGACAAAATGACAACATGTAATTCATGCAACTATGTGCTCACTTACAAAATGACAACATGTAATTCATGCAACTATGTGCTCACTTACAAAATGACACTCAGTCGTTAATTTAACTAATTACATAATCTAACTATGCTATTCGTTACATAATCTGACAATGCAATTTATGTCATAATCCAACTAATAATTTCCTAATATGACTAGTCATTAAATAATATGACTGTACCACTTAATACTTCTCTACAATGATTTATTTTATATTACATATCTAAGTTGTTTGCCTACCTCCTCGTATTTAGCACCATGTTCCGAGTAGGCTGAAATAGAACCCTTAGCACCGACGCCCCATCCGATGTAGTTTTTTACAGCTTCGTTCGCTTCTTCCACAGACATTTTATTCAGGTGCTGTTTTTTTTCAAAACGTTAAGGTTATCTTGTATAGATGTAAAAAAAAACCCAGTAAAATTCTGAGTTTTTACATCGTTTTATATCTTTTTTTGTGTGGGACTTAAGTACACTGGATACATGGGATACACGATCAAGCAGCTTTTTGATGCCAAGTCAATTGGTTTTTTAAATTAACAATCGCATTGACACATCCGTTTGATGAGTCTTCGGTTAAAGGGGCCAATACTAAACATCGATCCAACAGTCGACTCAACCAAACAAGAATAAAAAGTGTGGATTAATGCGTCGTTTAAGGACCTATATCGCATCTATCTATATCTAAGGAACTATAACATTGCCTATAAATTTTAAATTATTTAATAAATATTTTATGAGCTTGCCAAAGTATGTTTGTTTTCTAGTAATATGTATTACCCTTTAATTGGAGAGCATAAAAAACTCATGTTTATTAAATATTTTGGGATTCCTTCCATTATGTAAAAACTTATTACCAGGTAAGTTTTGTAATTGAAAAAGAGATGTAAAACATCGTAGTTTTGTTTTTCGAATTTGAAAAAAAATGTCTTTAAAAAAACACCGAGTAATGAAGAAGTATGTAATCGAAGAAAAAAAATCAAAATCTGAGAGCCAAAAAATTTAGTTTTGCAATATTGTCTATGTTGATGTCTGTCTGTCTGTGTATGTGAACACGACAACTTGGGTGTCGCTTAATTTAGGCTGGCGCTAATTTAAACTATGAGTGTTATATCTTATTTATAGCTTCGTGATTTAGGGAGAACGGAAGTGTAATAACTTTCGGTTTTTTCATATACCGATAAATTGAGTACCGTTTCAGCCATTTTTTTTTAAAAGTAAAATATTGTATGAGCAGATTACTTTCTACTTTTTAACAATTTCCGAAAACTTGTACGTTACTCTATTTCCTTGGGAACATGATAATTTGAGCTTTGTTTTTGTTGGGTAGAAGACTATTCATATATTAGTATAAGATCTGAAACTTATTTAGTTTACATTAAATGTTTGATTGACCTCAATATCTGTAAGTGGTAATTTACTATATTTCATGTTCCTAAAATACCGATAACTAGAGTACCAGTTAATGTATGTGAGCGAAATTTCACATACATTTAGATATATATTATATATTATATAGCTAGATTTCCTAAGATTTAGTTACTGCTTAGCATTTATAACATTCTTCAATTATATAACTGAACTGCCACGTAAGCCTATATCTTAGTATCGAATGCAGTAACATGTTCTATTTTTAAAAAAATAACATATTTCTATTAGACAAAAATCATCGTCGTGACGATATTGTTTTCTGAATTTTCCTTGTTGTAAACAAAACAAACAAACAAACAATAAAGCAACCAAACCAAACAAAGCTTTTCTAGCAATCCATTTTCCAGGTGGATTAATTTTTTAAGGAAATTATAATTTTAAAAACTTGGTTAGTTTGGAACCGTTGCTGTGCACGCTAAAAATATAGGCCTATTTCCAAATCAGCGTAACAGAAACATCTGAATTCATTCTACGTTCTCTTTTAGTCAATTACCAATGTTTATGATAAGCCAGTCTGCTTTTCCCCCAAATATGTTGAGCATGACATCAATGATTTTTTTCGTTAAACAAAACATACAGCTTTCACACAATACAGGTTGAGATTGTAAAGTAATTTTACTGATGAGATGTAATCTTGACTATAGATCTCTAACTTTTTAGAACATGGTTTTAATAACATTTTGGTAAATATATAGCCAAGGTAAAATTAAAATATTCTTATTAAATCATTTCTATGGTGCCCTGGGTCTAAAACTTGATAAAACAAGACTAGCCTTAGCTATAAAAGTTAATGAATGAACATTAGCCTTGGCTATATAACTCAATGAATCAAGACAAGCCGTTGTTATAAAACTTAATTAATCAAGACTATCGTGGTTATACAATTTAATCAAGAATAGCCATGGCTATAAACATGATTTAACAAGACTAACATTAGCTGTAATATTAAACGTTCAATAAGACTAGATTTGGTTACAAAACTTGATGAATCAAGACTAGCCCTGGCTTATCAGCAATAAAAATCGGGAAAGTATTTCTGCTGATCTCTTTCCAAAGACCATCTTTCTCCAGCTTGGTCAAGTAAGGCTGAAGTCCATCCTCATACCAGGGTACAAACATGGCTTCCTCTCGAAACACGTTGACAATGTATCCACCTAGGTTAAAATAATACATCAACTTTTACAGTATATCCACCTTTATGAAAAATAATATACACTTAGGCCTACGTTGAAAATGAAAGTTTACTATAGAATATCAAAAGAAAATAAACATATATTGTCTGTTTTTTTCTATTGAAGGAGGTTCACAATAAAAATAAAATGTAAGGTATTTTTTTTGTAAAATATGATAAAATGTTTTTACTGGCTATGACGAAAAACAGAAGTAACATAGGGCGGGGGGGGGGGGGGGTGTCATCCATAAACAATACCTTCCCTTTCTCACATCATACAATAAAGTCACGCAATTCTCCCATTAAATCACGTCACTTCTCAGGTTACCACCCACCCCAAAATTGTAATTTTGTTTTTTAAACATACATCTGTTCCTAAAATATCTATTTCGCTCAATTTACATTTTAAGTACATTTGTCAATTTCTATTACAATTTACAAAACAATCTTAAACATACAAACTAATGGCTAAAATTCAGTTTCTAGTATCACTACCTTAATGCTGGGAGTGTATAAAAATGTTGGTAAAAAATAATTAGCAACACTTGATGCTTAACTTAAAAATCATAGTAAACTTTTTTTTTAGGTTAACACAAGCAAGACTATGCAATATGTACCACGGTAACTTACAAACTTGATACTTTTAATTAACCTAATTTAACTAAGTCACGCAAACGTACCTGGTTTTACCACACGTAAGATATCGTCAAAAGCTGCTTTAGGTATGTGGTTTTCACCCATGGCTCCACATATCACAACAATGTCGTAACTGTCTGCAAGCACAATATGCATGTTAGTCATATTTCCCTCTTATTCAATTGTTTACCCTGATCATAACCATCTTTATAGCCCAACTCTTTTAGGCTTTCAAACTAAATTAACATTAGTCTTTTCCCGACGTTGGGATAAAACTGTACCAGATTTTCACAAACTAGTTTTAATTAAAGCGTAACACACGGGCGATACTCACCATTTTCAAATGGCATTTGTTCACCCTGGCCTACAAATTGACAGACGAGTTTGCCGTAGATTCCTTTATTCCTGGCAACCTGAAGCAAACCACTGGCAGCGTCGACGCCATCAATGTTTCTAAAGCCATATCCCACCAACTGTTCTGCTACAAGGCCAGTTCCTGCCGCTATATCTAGGATTTTGGCATCTCGATTATCCTTCAGTAGCTTCGCAACTGTTTCTGCCAATACTTTTGGTCCTTGATAATTCAGTGTTTTCATATACTGCAAATACATTATACAATTAATTATTTAAATTATACAATTTAAATAGCTGTTATATTAGTTATAGCTTATACTACACTTCTGATAATTTTTTAATAATTATTTTTTATTTCTGATTTAACGATGATTTTATTTTAATTTTTTATCACTTCTAGTATTTTCCGCCTTTTTTGTATGTTTTTATCACAATCGATTGTGTGGGGCAAGTGTTCAAAACATTCGTGTTATGTAGAATTCGTATTTCAATGTCCTATTATGAATTAACGAATTAATTTCATGTGCTACTAAAGACAAAGGACTGTAAACTCACATAAAATAATTGGTAGTAAAGTGTATTTTCGTACCTGACAGTCCATGTGGCAGGTGAGCTAGAGTTCATCTGTTTCAGTGACCTCGGTATCTAAAAGATAGTGCCCAAGCAATGTCCAACTGACTTTACCCTTACGTACCCAAAAATAGCTGGGTGGACTCAGCTACGTCCTGTTGACTCGACCGCGATTCCGAACATGAGACTTTTGAGTAAGCGGTCGTACGCGCTACCATCCGACCACATAACGCGCATTCATAACCAACACTACTCAGTACATGATGTAACCACGCCACTTACATAATGTAACTACGCTAATGCCCTACCTCCTCGTATTTAGCTCCATGTTCCGAGTAAAATGAAATGGCACCTTGAGCTCCTACGCCACGTCCCAAGTAGTTTCTCACAGCTACGGTAGCTTCTTCTACAGACATTTTATTGTATGGCTGTTGATTTTCACAAGTAAAACTTATCTCTAAACCTCGACTTGTATGAGATGTGCTAGCTAGCACATTTCTTAACTGTTTATACCGTAAAAAAACGATTGCTTAAAAAGTAGGCCGAAGTTTTTAAAAATCTTTTCTGGGCCAAAGTTCACGAGAGACACGTGACACATGACAAAGTTTGTAGAAAGCTATGCGTTTTGTTACGAACTTTCACAATGTATAACAATGGTCGGTGGGGAAAAATGCGATTGAGGAATCCGTTTACAGAGACTTGAAAATTGGCCCATGCCAAACGTCGATACGAACATCAAATCAAACAATCAAGATCCAAAGGTGGTATTGCCATTAGGTAAAGTTACACTTTGTAGGGCGGGAGATGAGGAGGGGGGTAAAATGGCGGTCGTGAGGGGAAAACTCACTTGTGTAACGCCTGTGAGCAGTGTTTCTTCCAGGCATCTCTACGAAGAGAGTCCTCCCCGAACGAAATGGAATTTATATAGAAAATTTAACAGTGTCAGCCCCCCAGAAATTTTAGTCCGCCCCAGGAAATTTTAGTCCACCCCCAAAAAAATTTCAAGTGCCTACCCCCCCCCCCCCCCCCCCCCCACCCCCACCCCCGGAGACAAAAGTCTTGAAGAAACGCTGTGAGTGGGCAGTTTGAGACAATATGGAGTAATACTTATGCACTTATCATAAACATAAAGCAATGTACCTAATTTCGACCTTGATTACCAAAGTTTTTATTAGAAATTAGCAATTCGCGATATTTTTTATACAAACCGTCTGTCTAGCTGGCGGTCACATTTTTTCACTGTTTCCAAGGCAAAAAAGGGAAACAACTTAGTTTTTTTTTTGTTTAGAAAGAAAATAGTTTTTAGGGTTAAAATTAACCACAGAGATTTTATCAGCGGTGTGTGTGTGGGGGGGGGGCAGTGGCGTAGCTATGAGAGGGCGGGTGGGGCGGCCGATCTGGGCGCCGACCCTATGGGGTGCCAAAAGGGGTAAGAAAATTAACTTAAAAACTCATTTTAAGCAGAAGTATTGAATTATACACAGTCAAAGTTACTAAAATAAACAACAGCAAGGCTTTACACTGTTTTCTACATCAATTTTGTGGCACCGAAATAGAAAATATTACTGGGAAGAAACGCGACTAACCTTTTCAACTGGGGGTGGGGAAGCGGGGGCTTTTTCACAGACAGGAATAACTCTATATATAAATGGGAGGGAGGGGGCGCAAATGTGATAGTCCACCCGGGCGCCAGAATAGGTCACTACGCCTCTGGGGAGGGGGAAGAAAAGGATGGAGTGGACGTCAGTAAATAGGATGAGATCTGACTTTTTGTGATAATGCTTGACAAAAAGCAAAGTATAAGAATTTTGTTTAAAAACAAACTTCCTATTTGTAATGGAAAAAAATCCAACTAATTCGCCTTCTTTAAAAAAAAAACATTGGTTGCTCAGTTTAGTTCTTTCTTGTTTTGATGTCGTCACCATATACACATTATAAAATATCATTACTCATATTAGGGGGTCATCCATATGTGTCGTCAAGCTTTTTTGACGATTCCCCCCCCCTCCCCTCCGTCACACATCGTCACAAAAAGCCAGACCCCCCCCCCCTAAAATGATCGCATCATCTGAACCCTCTTCTCCCCCTCATCACACACCGTCACAAAATTACGGACCCCCTACCCCCCCCCCCCCCTACGAGTGGGAAGTCATTTATGGACGACCCCTTATATATTTTTCATGGTAATTAAATTATTACACTTGTATATAAAGACGACATACAAATACAAAATAAAAGACATTTTTATAAAAAAATTATAGGATGTTTTAAACATTCAAAGTTTTGATATTTCGAAATACAAATCAGAGTTTCCAAAGCGCGTCTATTTTAAAATCTTACTACTTCCGTTATGACAATATTGTCTACACCCGCTCAGCTGTTGTTAGAAACAAAATGGCGAGAATCTGGGACGGATTTTACGATTTCATTTGGGACGAACAATTTTGGCTGGGAGATAATGCGAGATGGGATGAATTTAACAGTTCTGATTCATCAGTTTATTACCCTGAAATAAGTCACATGAACTGGTCTCTTGTCGTTGGTGCTGTGTTAGTATTCGTCAGATATCTTTATGAAAGGTATGTAGCTTAGAGAATGTATGTCTATTATATTTCATTTTCACCCCTACCTGTTCGGTATGTCGGGTCCGTACTGCCATACTAACCCCTCCACTCCATTGTGACCTGATGTTTTCAAAGGCTACCCTATAAAAAGAACACACCTCACCGCCTCCGTCATGGTCGTTCAAGCGTGACTGAACACCACGTGATCTGGCACATTCCCATTGATGCGACTTGTATCCTATTTAAAGATATTTAAATGTATACTCTTAAGCGTTGATGAAGTATTTTTTTTAAAATGCAGTCTTAAGAATACGCCGGTATCCTACATTTTATAATGTTTTAAACTTTTACGACTTTCCGTTTTTACTTAGTTTAAGGGATTATAAACTAATCGACAACTAGATTTAGATCATCTCGTACTAGGGACACTAAAGTTTTAGGGGGCGGCTCGTTCGCGTCGCGGGGAATATCCACAATTAGAAAATGTTTATATAAAACAACAACGTTACTTTCGGATAATCTAATCAGTTTCTTTCAGAACGAAATGAAATTTATATAGAAAACATATACTTTTAACAGTGTCCGCCCCTCCCCGGGAGAAAAAAGTCTGGAAGAAACACTGAATCTAATATTAGGGTTGTCAATACATAACAATTTAAAGTAGTTTTCTAAATATTAGTAAGCGGGGCGGATAGCGATGGGGGGGGGTGCGGGGGGGGGGGGGGTGTGCGGACCACACCGGGTGACACCATTAAGGGGGTGACACCAAGGCAAAAAATTGATAATATATAGAGAAAAATGATAATTCCACTTAGTTAAGTGATTAATTTGAGTGTTAAATAGTGTTTTAAGAGATGCAACTCGAAAGTTTGAAGGGGGGGGGGGGGGGGTGCAAATCGAAAATTGTAAGTTTGTCCCCGGCCACGCCTCTGGGCGGGGGGGGGGGGTCTGACACCATTAAGTGCCGCACCGGGTGACACCCGACCTCGCTACACCACTGTTAAAAGGCCGTTTCCATAGTAATTGTTTAAACATCAGAATGAGATTTTGATTTTGTTGATATTTGTTTTTACTTTAAATTTATTAGTAATTTAATACAAAAACATACAAAAATCAGCATATTTCCTTTTGGGGTGAATAGAAACAAATATTTTTCACTTATAAGTAAGTCATCAACAGCACAATTAAAATGCAAATCAAATGTACAGCACAATTAAAATGTAAATCAAATGTACAGCACAATTAAAATAAAATGTCAATCGCAATTTTTTTTGTTAGGTGGAGCGCTGCCGATAGTATGACGGAATAGCTAAGTAACGAAATTTTGCCCTTTATTTCTTGTTACTGTTAGTGTTATTTGTGTTTTAGCCATGAGAGTAACACCACCCTCACATCTTACAGTAACAACAAGTACGATTATAACCATTTATATTGCTGTTGATTACGTATACAGTGTCAGAATTACGTATAGAGTCAAATGTTATTTTTGTCAAGATTACATAAATGCAGCATTGTGGTATCAACAAGTGGTGTATATGTTGACTGGTCGAATCCTTCATTATTATCAAAACAGGTGTTAAACGGGGGGGGGGGGGAGGGATGGAATAAATTTAATTTTTAATTAAAATTGATGCCACGTGTCTAAATGTGATCTATCATCGAACGTTTATAAATATGTATTATGACTATAGTTGCAAAATTTCCAGGTGTCTATTAGATGCATCACAAGTGTAAGTTGTTGTATTAATTACTGTACATTACACAGGCTACTGGTCAAGCCGTTCGCCGATTGGTTAGGACTCAAAGAAAGAAAGTCTATTCGTTTAAAAGAGTCACCTCAGTTGGAGGCAGCATTTAAAACATATAAAAACAAAGTTCCACACAATGAAATTTTGGTAAGATCATAATTAGTTTTTAATTTATTTGCTTCAATTAATAAATTTCTTAAAAACTGATGAAAAAGTTAAGTCTTAAAGCGGATTCGTCATTTATCATGTTTTATATCATTTTATATTTCATACATATTCTAGTTAAGTTTATATCTTTACGTTAGAGTATTTTTCACCACAGAAACTAGTAAAGCAAACAGATTTGACTGAAAGACAAATTCAAAGATGGTTTTTCAAGCGAAATATTTTACAAATGCCTTCTATGATGGCCAAATTTAAAGAATGCAGGTAGGACTATGCTTAATGTAAGCGTTTTTTACCTACCTTAAACATTTAAAATAGAATTTAAGTATAAATGAATCTCCCCGTAACGCCGGGTGTGGGTGGGGCTGGGGTGGGGAAGATAATCACAGTTAATATTTACAAAAATGTTGCGATCTTTGTCGATCTTCTACTGCTCTGAGTAATTATACAACGGACAGCTCAGTCCATTTATTGATGCCCTGCATTCACTGTGATCTTTGCCTTTCTCACCTTCTCCTTAGTCGTACCTACAGTCACCTGTATGTGAGGTTTTGATTGGCTTGTGACACATCCCCCAAACCATATCAGTTGCTTAGCTTTTACCATACTAAGAAGGTCCTCAAAAGGACCAATCATATTAATGGTAACTTCACTGATCTATTCCTTTGTTTCATGCTCTGTGTATGGGATCCCTTCAAGTCTGTGTAAACATTACAAGCAAGGGCATTAATCCGTCTCTGAAGGTCTACGTTGTGGGTTCAAGCCTTGCATGCATACAAAAACGGAGATGAGTTTAATTTACCTTCTAAGAAAAATCTTATTGTCACGCCAAATCTTTCTAAACGTGCTGAGTGATATGGTCGTTTGGTTATTCACGCAGTACATTTTCAATTTTATCCTTTATTTTCGTGGTTGGTCCTTATTTTAAGATTGTCAAATTGTCCCTAGTCGGGGTACGCTTTCATGCTATTATTCATGTTCATGTTTTCCTCCATTTCTTCGTATTGAGTTTTGATCCATGCTTCTCTAGTTGTCGCCATGCTTTATCTTGTAACCTATTGACTGTTCTATAGTGGCTCGCTATATTAGTGTTGTGCATATTTTCATTTTTAGCTCGGGACGTTTGTCGCGTGTGTTCAGTGACCCGGGATTTCTTGACTTGTTGCTTTCTCAAGGCCTTAGTTTTGCTATATGAATGTTGGTGGTGTTACTTGATTAGTTTATTCAGCATCTATGATACCGAATACTTTATATTTAGCAATATCTCAAAAAAAGAGAGAGAGAAAAAAAGAGAACACATGTATCACAATTTTTATAATGTACACTATATTTGTTTTTAGCGATCGTATTTTTTAAACACGTTGTTAATTTACTATATTTCATGGTATGTAATTTACTTGCTTTATTATAAAACACTATGCAATTAAATAATGCTGATTGATTTAAGTTTTTATTTTTACAGTTGGCATGCATTGTTTTATACAACTTCTTTTTGTTATGGAATGTATGCTCTCTGGGATGTAAATATATATATTTTTTCTTTTTCTTTTTTATACCTCCAAAATTAGATTTATCATATTAGTCAAAAACGAAAGTAGTTTACAATAGCTTCAGTGATAATACTTGTATAAGTTTGATATTGATATTCCTCTTCTTTGTTTAGAAACCTTGGTTGTGGGTCACTGTAAACTGTTGGGTTGGCTGGCCAAAACAGGTTTGTTTACTTTGATTTTAAAAGTTTGGGTATTTAAAGTAACAATCTAGAATGCTAATTTAAAAAACTCTCGGTGCAGTACTGTAGACGAGAGATGGGTGGGGAGTGGAACCCTCAACAACAGACTCCCAAATGAGCGTTGACTTACGGAAACATTACAGCTACTGACGATGACATATATATATGTATTTAAATTACAATAAATAATTTAACCCCGCCCCCATACATTCAAAGACAAAATCCCGCTTGTGATGCTGTTATTGAATTCTCTAGAAAGAAACCGTCATTATTTTTCTTTCCGTCTTTCTCATAGCAGCACATTGACATGTTTTTCTTCCTATTTGCAGCACATTGACAACGACATATTTACGCTGTATATAGTAGAGCTTGGTTTTTATTGGAGTTTACTCTTTGCCATATTCTTTCAAGGGGATTGTCAGAAAAAGGTTTGTGATTTTTATTCAACTCAAATAATTGTTCTTCTTATCTACAGCTGTGGACTTTAAGAGAAGATATACTTAACTGCAATAATTTTATCAAGTTATTTTATTTTTCACTTACGTATGTTTACAAAATGAATAGAAATTGAGCTGATTGACAGCGACAAGAAGCTCGAAAAAGAAATAAATAAGTTGTCTCTCTTTACTATCACTACTTATGTCGATTCTTTTCAAGAATTCAGAATAACTTACAACATTTTTTTATGTCTTTTGTAATAATATATTGTAATAAATATGTTTATAATATTCCCATATTTTCCTCAAATCTATTTCTTAAACATTTACAATAACTCACCCAGTAACTTTATTTTTACTCTGCGTAAATCTCAGTAGTTTGAAGAAAATTTGAAGTTCAATTGAATCTTATTCACTAAGTGCAATGTCTTTTTATAACAGGATAAAAAAGAGATGGTCGTCCACCACCTTGTGACTATCTTGCTTATATATTTTTCATGGGCATGTAACTTTGTCCGTGTTGGCAGTCTAGTCCTTGTGGTACATGATTTTGCTGATCCATGGCTAAATGTAAGAACAACATTTTTGTGATAATTGGTTGAAATTATTTTTTTTATAATAAAAATGTAAAGACACATTGTTATTACTAATAGAAAGTTGTTCGACATTGTAATTTGTATTTTAAAAACATATCTGTTAAATATTGTTAACCAGTATTTTTTTTTTATCTTTTAAAGATTGCAAAAATGGCCAAATATGTAAAATATCAAACAACATGTGAAATATGTTTTGGAATGTTTATTTTAACTTGGATTGTCTCTAGAATTTTTGTTTATCCATTCTGGTAAGTTTCGGTTTAATAAAACATGCTTAGAGTGTTAATTTAGCTGTTTTCAGTGTTGACATTAAAGTTTTAATAAAAATGTATTCCTCATTTGGCATTCTATTAATAGTTGTATATTAACACTTTTTATTTACCGTGCGTGCTAATTACAATAATGTAAAGCGAAAAGTTGTTTACTCATGCAGTTTGAGATTATTTTTCATAATCAATAATATATTATATATTACTTTTTCCACTAGGGTATTATATACCTCGGCTGTTGAAGTTCATGATTATGTTATTACATTTCCTGCATACTGGTTCTTTAATGGACTTCTATTTGTGCTACAATTACTGCATATTATGTGGACCTACATATTACTTAATATTGCATTTCAAAAGCTTACACATGGATCAGTAAGTAAACATTTCTATTAATATCCCTAATAACCACTACCATCTATGGATACGCGTTACTTCAATGTAGTTTAGAGTTATCGACTATGAAAAAGGAACCGTGGGGGGGGGGGGGGAGGAGGGGGTTGTAGATTAGCACATAGCTGGCAAAGTCTTCATACAGAAATCAAGGATGCGATAACTTCGGGAAGTTCCGAAATCGGTAGGCACTGATTTGATTTTTTGAATCATATTTTTGAACTGTTGGGTTCAATTTACTGGGCCAAAATACTAAAGCAGGTTACCTGTGTATCACGGCAACACGTGATTTCTAGGCCTGTGTAAAGTTAGCCTACTTTGGTGATAATATAGACTTTCAAAATGTATAGCCTTTAACTTCAATCTAGATTTTGCATACGAAATAAAAATATAACAAATAGCTTTTGAATGCTCGAACATAAGAGTATAAAACAAACGTTTTATATCTAGATGTTAATCTAGATGTAATAAAAAAAACTTTGGTCGCTTAAAAGTATTAAAAAGATAAGAGCGAGCAAATTAAGTAAATAGTTTTTTTAATTATATGATTTTATTTCTGCAATAGTCATTCCTTTGAAAAAACTCTAAACATTTTCTGTACTATGTAGGACACTTGAGCCTATTACATGTCGTAATACTTAGATCCGTTTCTTATATGTTACAATGTTCATTAAAAAAACAGGTTCAACATTATGTCATCACATATCTAGAAGATTTTGGAAATTTGTAAAAAATGATTAGCATTAGGAATAAAAATTAAAAAAAATTGAAATTCAAACTAAAGATTACATTGGAATGCTGATTCTTGAACGGTTACAATTTTAAAGTCCTAATCAGTCTTAACTTTTTTTTTAGTGATAGGGCATTTTTAGGTTTGAGTAATAACTAGGCCTACATAACCTTGCGTTTCTATTTAAAACAACGTGTAAAAAGTGTTAGCTTTTAAAAATGGTTAGATTATAAGTAGACAGAACTAGCTAACTGTAAACTATTTTGTCAAATACATAGGGGTGAGATTTAAGATGGCGGTTTGAGTATGGCATAGGGTATTTTTCATTGGTGTAGATGGGAAGCGGTATTGGATGACGAACTGCAGACAGGGTCATCTAGTAACTATAAAAAATATATTTCGATTAATTTATGTACATAATGTGTTAGGTATTAGGAGATTGTTTTCAATGTAGTTTTTGTATCAATCAGATTGAGAAAGACATCAGGAGTGAGTCAGACAGTGAAATCAGTGACTCGACCACAGAGGAAACCAATCCAAACAATAAAGCAGCAGTAGACAGCATTGTTTCACAGAGAAGAAAGCAGCCTTCAATCAAGTCGTAGCAGCCCAAGCAACACACAAACCTCTTTTACATGCTGTCCAGTCTATAAATATTAAATGAACAGCTATAGTAAAAGGAAAGACATTTATTTATGTTTACACATTTAAACAATCCATAGGCTTAGCGACCCCTCCCGGCGCCCGGGGAAAAACTTTCAATTTGGCGCCCCCACCCATATATTTTTTATATTTATAATTCAAAATAGCAGCTAAAATGAGCTTATTTTGGCTCCCGGGGACATATTCCCGTCCCCCCGTCGATACGCCTCTGCCACAATCGTTTCTCTATTATATCACTTGCGTTTTAAATATTTTCGCTATAAAACTAAGTTTTGGTTGTGCATTTTCATTTCTTTTGTTCTATTTTGAATACTTAAGAAAGTGATTCTATTAACAAGCTATACTATTTTAGCTGTAAGGTTATTTATAATGGTTCTTTATAAGACAAGTTCGTGTCACTTTATTTGAATTAGATGTTTTATTTATGTATTTTAAAACTGAACAATAATTTAAAAAAATGGATACAGCTAGTACTTTCCAGTTAAAAAAAAAACAACATATTAACATGCATGTTATATATTCCTATGCCCCTGTTTATTTCTATCATTTTGGTCACTTTGTATATATTGATAACATTAATAACAGGCATGTTTTGATATACAATTTTATATGTTTTATATTGTGTTTTAAATGCTCTGCACTTCACGGTATTAAATAATGTTTCTCAATTCTAGAATATATTTTGTTTAATTCATTACGAATGTTATATGCTGGGTGTGTTGATGCAATAAATAATTATTTCGTATTATTTAAAGTTTTTTTTTTGTTAATTATGATTATAATTTATGCATGTAACTTATCTGGAACCTGATCGATCAAAATTTAAAGTTACCTTTTTTGTGTAATTTTCAGCAACACTAGGCAACAAACGTGATTTGCCCAAAAAGAAAGAACACACATAATTATTATAAATAAATTGATGTTTTTTTTTAACTGAAAAAAATTAGGAATGATGGGGACTGGGGGTGGGGGTGGGGGGCTTTTTGGTAGGCTAAAGTGTTGACATTATTTTTGTGGCCGGGTATTGATTTTTTTTTATTATGTCGGTTAAAAGGGTGTTAAAATCGGAAAATGTTTGGCATTTGTAGAATACTATTAGATCATTTAATAAATAGTGTTTTATGATAAAATCACTTCTAAAACTGTAAATTTCATGTAACAATAGTTGTACAAGTGAAAGTCTACGACCAGAGAAACTTAATTACTTATTCTTTGTTTTTTAACGTTTACTCACAGTTGCTATACAATTGTTTTATTATTTATTTCGTGCTTGTTATTTCCTGGATTTTGTTAAAACTTCAAAAGCATTTAAGCATTGAACTTGTTTTCAAGAAATTGACCTATCTATGTAGATCATTTTAAGATCAAATGTGTTTATTTTAAAAGTATTGTATATAAAGAAATATTCGAAGAAAAATTTGTATATTACATATTATTCATCTACAATGTTATCCTACATTGGAATAGGAGGCAAAGCTACCTCTATCACTTACATAGTGAAAACGACAATTCGTTTAGAAATCATGCTGTACTATACATGACCTCTAATTTTAGTGTTTGCGTTTCTTTTGATTAATGTATATCAAGTTATGTTTTGCGGATATGAATAAACAGGTAAGACCTAATAGTATTTTAGTTTTGTTATTCATTTTAAGTTTCTTCAGTTTATAATACTATTAATGTTTAAAATTTGTAATCAATCGTCTAAATTTAGATATTAATATATCGTAAATTTCATCTGTACATTGGGCGGCCTCCGGCGCCCTTATGAGCACTGAGGCGCATAAATTCATTTTAAAGAACACCCTACACTATTGATTCGGCGAGGCACTACATTCAATGATTAAATCGAAGCACGGGTCACACCCGGTACCCCTGCGGTAGTGTAATAAAAAATATCTGTTAATGGCTTTTTTTTAATTTTTTCAGAAAAATTTCATTAATAAAATCAAATGAAAAAAAACCTTTTGCTTGTTATATATATATATACTAACAATAATAAAATATACAAACATTTTATTTGATATAATACAACTGAATTTCGACAGAACGGGCTATTGTAAAAATTTCAGAACTTCCGTTTCGGCCATACGGGCCGCACCCGTCCAACCCTCTGTGCATTCAGTTACAAAATGGCGAGTATATGGGACATGGTTTACAATTTCATTTGGGACGAACAGTTTTGGCTGGGAGACGACGCACGGTGGGAGGATTTTATCAGTTCTGATCCTTCCGTTTACTATCCTAAAATAAGTCACATGAACTGGTCCATTGTAGTTGGTGCTGGGCTTATACTTTTTAGGCTTGTTTTTGAACGGTAGGTACCACATTGCTAAATATGTCACATAGTATTACTTAAAGTTCATTATTTTTAACCCCGGCTGATCGGTACGTTGAGACCAATATGCCGTACCCACCCCACTTCACCAGCGTGCTTTTTATTGACGTTTAGCACTCTGTGTATGAACACACCTACCCACTTCTTTCATGGTCAATAGAGCGTGACTGAAAACTTTGTGACCTGAATAACAAAGTCCCGTATAAACGAATTCTCATCTCACCGGCGATAGTACTTAAGCAATGCTTATTTGTAGGTGAACTCTACTTTATTTACTCAATATACCATAATGTTTTAATGGAACTTTACTTTTTCTTTTCTACGGTAGACGGGATAAGAAATGCAGTCAATAGTTCCAATGCTTTAGAAGAAATAAACATTGTGCTTATATGTATATCCTCTTAAAGTTTAGATGCAATAAGCGCGTTACTTATTTTCTCTATGTGGTGTGTGTGTGGGGGGGGGATATGTTATTTATTATATATACGTTCGGTAATAAACTCATATAAACTTATAATATTCTCTCGTTGTCGGATCGGCTCTTCTTATATATATATATATATATATATATATATATATATATATATATATATATATATATATATATATATTATGCTCCCAAAGTTTTTTTGTTCAAATGATTGTAAATATTTTCTAATGTGTGTGCACTAGAGCCTTAGACCGATTTCCAGCATCGGAAATAAATTATAAGTAAAACAAAAACCTTAAAACTATACAAAGTAATGTGGTTGTTGAAATTTTAAAAAAATGTTTATCTTTATAATAGCCTTAAAGAAACTGACAAAAAATGGTTCTTTGCGTGGAATTCTTACAATTTCGCAAAAATGTATCAATTTATTTTTTATCTAAATAAAATGTTTTTACAAGATTTTATTTAACTTATTTCCCTTTGATCTATGGGTCGAAACGGGTAAACATAATTTCGACCACTTCTAATCGACCCATTGCTCTGAAACGATGACAATGCAATGTGACATTTTTAAAGAATAAATTAAAATGTCCTTTATAAATTAATATTCAAAGCTTTTCCTTTCAGTTATTCAAATAGTAGTTTACTTTTATAAAAGTCATTTTTCTCCTTTAGTGGTTTACATAAAACTTTGTTATTACAATGTTTGATGAATTTTTAAACCGAGTAGCAATTCAATTATGCACTGTGTTGTTTTTTATCCGGATTATCCGTGTACCACAACAAAATAAAATGTTATGATAAAATGTTTCAGTTTTCTGATCAATCCATTAGCTCACTGGTTGGGACTCAAAGAAAGAAAGTCTATTAGTTTAAAAGAGTCACCTCAATTAGAGGCAGCATTTAAAACATATAAAAATAATGTTCCACATGATGAAATTTTGGTAAGATTGCTATAGTTTCTTTTTAACAAAAAGCTTTATTTGTTACATTTGTACGCGCTCATACGGTAATGAGTATTAAAGCTATAATAATCATAATATCTTATTCACATTATTTCAAAACGGATCATAATATATATATATATATATATATATATATATATATATATATATATATATATATATATATATATATATATATATATATATATATATATATATATATATATATATATATATATATATATCTTGATTTTAGAAACTTGTAAAGCAAACAGATATGACAGAAAGACAAATTCAAAGATGGTTTTTCAAAAGAAATATATTACAGATGCCTTCATCCATGTACAAATTTAGAGAATGCAGGTCAGTCGACGTTTAGAAAATATCCTAATTATTCTTACAAATAGTAATTTGTGTATTCCTCTTACGATATTCTTTATTTCATTTCAGGAATTCTCTAACAAAATAATTGTTTCTTTTTGTTATTGTTTTTATTACAGTTGGCAAGTATTATTTTATTCGACATCTTCTTGTTACGGAATGTATGCCCTATGGGATGTAAGTATTTCTTCCTTCATTTTACAAATGCATTCTTAATTACACGCAGCTCGTTATTTATAAATAAAGTATACAATAAAATAAAATAACATATGTACGAATTTGAAAATGCTATTTTCTTTTCTTTTTTTTTTAAATATTTTTTGCGTTATCAGAAACCTTGGTTGTGGGTGACGGTGAATTGTTGGATTGGCTGGCCAAAACAGGTTTGTTTACTGTTGATCATAGTTGTTTTTTTTTAAATTCATTATCTTAATAATTTTAAAACAAAATTTCTAAAAACTTCGTTAGTCTTAATACACGGTAGGAGGTTAATAATCTTTTATAATTACGAATTCACTTATAACTTATTTATTTATCTGCTGCACTGATTTTATTAATACACTTTTAATTAAAACTCCAAATATGGAGGTGAATACATTTTTGAGCATGATGTTATTATTTGTTTCTCTTTATAGCACATTGATAACGAAATATTTATCCTGTACTTGGTAGAACTGGGCTTCTATTGGAGTTTACTTTTTGCCATATTTTTTCAAAGAGATTATCAGAAAAAGGTAGGTATTTATTGTTCACTTTTGATAAAGTATTCACCAAACGAACATCTGTTCAATTTTGTAGTAGAATTATTCGTTTGTATTATATTTGTTTAAAAAAACGAAAAATTGCAAGAAAACAGATGTTCCTCGTGTTTTAAAAGTTTGTGTAATTATTTGTTTTGCAGTGATCCAAAATTAATCCGAACTTTCTAAAATAGACTTTTGATCTTTGTTTTTGTAACCCCGTTCTCGTTAAGAATTTCAATTGCATTTGAAATTATTCATTAGAACGTTTTCAGTTTAGGTTCTCATCTTTAGGCGTAGGTTTTTTTGTTTCCAAAATGTTTATCATTTACTGGCTGACAAAGACCTAGACCTAGACCAATGACTGACAGAATGACGCACAATTCGATTGTATTCGGCTTAAGATGTTATAAAGAATGGTGTTTATAATATTTTATAATATTCGATGCATAAAAACATGAAAAATTCAAATAATCAAATATTTTATTAAAACTATAACTATAAATTTCAATTTCACTTTATATCATTTTAAAATTTCATTAAATCTATAGTAATTGTTTAAATGTGATTCCCCAAAAAACTTTTTTGCGTGTCCTTATCTTCACTATTTCATTTAAATCAATTATACATTCTTAAACCTTGATAAATAGTTAATACATTTATATTTAACTATAAAGTAACGCTCTATATAGATACGTGGCTAATGGTAATCATTCAATGAGCATTATTATACTGTTTAGCTTCTCTATATTGAAAAGTCCAAGTGCTCTTAACATTGAGTTAATGGCGGACGGACGGAATGACACACTACCCAACGCGTCATATTATAGATGTGTACATCTTATAAACATTAAAACATACAATCGAAATCTTGCAAACTCACGAACGCTTGACATATTTGAGAATAGATGTAGAAACAACTCTCTTCTTTAACGTGTAATACTTCATTACAATAAGATTAAGTAAAATTTTAAGCAATTAATTATGTTCTAAGTGAATTGTCTGTTTCTTACAGGATAAAAAAGAGATGGTGGTCCATCACCTTATGACTATATTGCTGATATATTTTTCATGGGCATGTAACTTCGTTCGTGGTGGCAGTCTAGTCCTTATGGTACATGATTTTGCTGATCCATGGATGAATGTAAGAATACATTTTGTTTGTGAAAATAACCTTAGTTTTTTCTTCTTTGTTCTTACTTACATGAGTAAAACTTAATTATTCGAAAATGACGGTTAATATGGCAAGTGAAATAGAGTTCACCTGTTCCTGTTACTTTGGTATATGAAGGGACTATGTGGTCAGCATTAGGCCCAACCATCAGAGCTGGATAGACTCAGTCCTACTGACTCGAGCAGGTGATCCGAACTCGAAACATGCGGATGAGAAGTTGTGCGCCCTATCATCCGACCACAACGTCCCATTAATTAATTTATCAAAACTTTCTGACTATACATTTTTTTTTATCTTTTAAATTTAATCTAAGTGATTTAAAAAAAATCTATTATACTACATTTTAGATGTTTTTTCCCTCCAAAGCTTGCAAAAATGGCCAAGTACACTAAATATCAAACAGCGTGTGAAATCTTTTTTGGTATTTTCATCGCTTCTTGGATTGTCTCTAGAATTTTTGTTTATCCATTCTGGTAAGTTTTTTGTTTTGTTAAATATATGTTGAGCTTGTTATTCCAAATTTTTTTACACATTTACTTGTGATGAAAATTGTCTTTTGCGTATTAATAATGTTAGAATTATCAAGCAAAATACTTTGAACTTATCATACAGCTATTTTTACATTTTACCCATTGTTTAAACATTATGACTCTATTTTATTAATAATTCATGTTCAACTTGTATTAGGGTGTTATACATGTCCGCTGTTGAAATTCATGACTACGTGACTACATTTCCTGCCTATTGGTTCTTCAATGGACTTCTATTTGTTCTACAATTACTGCATATCATGTGGACGTATCTAATTCTTAATATTGCTTTTCAAAAGCTTACACATGGTTCTGTAAGTAGTGCTTTACGCTATTTCCGATTTCTCAAAACACGCATATGAATTTATAAAGTAGACTACTAATATTCCGCACTATTCTAGACATATTGTTTGCTATTCACTTGGTACGCAATATTTTTTACGAGATTCTATTCTATTTTAAAAATTTAAGTATGTAAAAACTAATTAAAAAGCATGGTCTTTGTCCCGAGTTGCCATCCCCGTAGAGTTATATAAGAATATACGAGAAAATTCAGGGGAGATTACTCCCGGTTTATTTTTAATGTATCGATTGCCATATTTTTTAAAGAACTTTAAAAAAAATTAGAATGATTGTAAATATTTTGAACCTTTTTTGACAAAATTATTTTTAGTGTTCTTATTTGTGCGGTTATAGCTATTGTGTACGAAATATTAGTTGTCGAGTTATGGCTTACAGCGTGTCTTTTTTCAACAGATCAAGAAAGACGTCAGGAGTGAGTCAGACAGTGAAATCAGTGACTCGACCACAGAGGAAACCACAAATAACAACAAAGCAGCCGCAATCTACGGGGTTTCACGGAAAGTAACGCAACATTCAAACAAATCCTAGAACCTCTATAATATTTGTTGACTGTCGACACAGAAAGTAACGCAACATTCAAACAAATCCTAGAACCTCGCTAATATGTGTACATATTGACACAGAAAGTAGAGCAACATTAAAACAAATCCTAGAACCTCACTAATATTTTTACAATGTCGACACAGAAAGTAGAGCAATATTTAAACAAATCCTAGAACCTCGCTAATATCTGAACATTGTCGATACATGAAGTAACGCAACCTTCAAACAAATCCTAGAACCTCCCTAATATGTGTACATATTGACACAGAAAGTAGAGCAACACTCAAACAAATCCTAGAACCTCACTAATAATTTTACAAAGTCGACACAGAAATTAGAGCAATATTTAAACAAATCCTAGAACCTAACAAATATTTTTACATTGTCGATCAATACTTAAGATTGAGGGGAAAGTTACAGCGTGCAGTATCTTAAAACATATCAATATAAAATAAAATTTTAATTAACCCGAAGACAGAGTTCATAGCACACAATTTATAGCTTGATACTTTTAATATTCACGTTTTACATCATTTTATTTAAGTGACATATATTTATTGTAATTTGGTTTGATATTTTAAACTCGGAATTTAAGGGTAGGCCTACATTTTTAAGCGTCTGGATCTCTACCTCCTAGGAATCATGTTTAGCTTATTATTAACTCAGTATATTATTTTGACAATTTTTAGATAATGGTCTGGATATACGATTTGACCATTGCACCATAATTTTCTCCACGTTATCATTTTATTCCTTTTTATAACAACAATTACAGTTTCCGCTGTGGTATTTTTTAACTTTCTGTTACAAATATCTTATTTAAAATAACTGATATTGATTCTTGCTCTTTTGGTTCATTTGTTTTTAAATATATTAACTTTGCAGTTGTGTGATAGCTTTACGAACATGTAAAGAGTGAAAATATTTGTTTTGTAGCATATCCTTTTTAACTATTTTTTAAAGTTATGATTCTTTAAGGTATATTTTTACCTTTGATTGGCATTGTTTATTGTAAAAAAAATTCTGTTTTGCGTTTATGTAGATTACATGTTGTATATCAAATGTAAATATGTTAAAGTGTGAAAAAGATTCGATTAATAGACCATTTTAAAGTTTGGCCGCATAGATGTACTTTCCTCTGCAAATATTAGAACTTTCAGTCTTCAATGATAAAGTCCCATAACTCCTGGAAAATTATGTATGTGTGTAGGCTACTATTTGTAACAAGAGCGCTAATAGTCAATAATAGGCACACTTTTTTCTAATGATTTTACAATAATTGAGTGCATATACACTACTTCTCAAAAATTAAAAAAGAAAATGCTCTGGTTTTTTTTTGCTTTTAATAAATTTCATATTTGTATCCAAAGCTCTTGATGTTGCTACAGAAATAGCTCATGCTGAATTTCGTAGTTTGTTGCTACGAGCAACACTTTTAAATTTATTTAAATTTTTATCATCTTTTTCTGATTGCTCATTATGGTAATAATTTTCTGTTGAGAAACGGAGTCATACATAAATGACGTCGCACTGAGTGTATTTTTCAGTTTCATTCACTAAGTTCAGAAATATAAACACTTAATAAATCTTCTACTTGATCCTGCACAGTTTATAAATTAAGAGTTCTTTCTATCCATTTTATATCCCTCCATTTTTTAACGTTTACATTTCCGTGTGATTTTTTATTTCCATAGGATTTTGTTTCTGTTTAGTTTTGCTCATAGACATAAGCGGGTAAATATTTAACTATATTTTTTAGATTTAATCTTAATTCACATTACTTTAAGCTCTTATTTTTTGGACCATTTTAATATGGTCGGGTAAATAATTAATGTAACTACAATTTTAGATTTAATTTTTAATTCATATTACTTTTAGCTCTTATAGTTTTTGACCATTTTAATATGGCAGTATTAATTTATTATTTAAATGATGGTGACACCTTTTTATGCATTGTCATTTAACTATTTTTTCTAAAAAAAATTCTTGTCTCAGATAGATTATTTTTCGTTATTATTATAAACATATGATTTTAAATCACACATATTGATATCTAATTATTTTACATAATGCTTTACTTTTACGCTTACCTCATTGTGATTCTACCTAGTTTGGTGATTTTATTTTTAATTCGATTGGCTGTGTAACTTTTATTACATCTAAAAAAGGCACACCGATCGAACATTTATATTTCTAGCAATTTTATATTTTCTACCATAAGACGTTGATATTTTGTGACAATTATATTACTCGTTTGGACCACTTTATTGTTTCTTTCTAAAATAATTAACATTTGCCTATTTACCTGTTTGAACTTATGTTATTATCTCAATGTATTTTTTAAAATCTAACAATTCACACCGCTATATATTTTTTTTTACAGATTTTCCAAATAAATCTGCCTGCACGTTCCTTTTAAAAATTAAACATTTTCCGATTTTGAAGTTCAATTAATCATTAATTTTTTTTGTAAATATTTTTAGGAGTAGAATTTTAGTAGCTAAGCATTTTAAAATATTAAACTCCATATTTGTGGGTTGCATTAAGCCACGATGTTTTCATAAATTCTGCATTTCAATATTTTGATAGTTTGCAAATATTTTTTGCCACACTTATTTTAATTTGTTGTAGTTTACAGCTACATAGTCTAACCAAATAGAAGCTGAGTTTACGCAAATTCGATTTATGGCAGTTACTTATAATTTTAAACGGCATTTTAAAAAATCGTTATAGCCATCGAGCAGTGTTTATTAACTTTTATTATTATAATGGTTAGTGATATTTTTTTCTACAATATCAATCAAACTAGCAATCTACTAAAAAGAGAATATATATGATTTTGTTATTTATTGATTATCTCTCATTATTAAAGGGAAACAACTATATTAAAACTTTGGAGATAAATTTAAATAAATTTGCAGTGCTGTTGATGCTGTTTAACGTAATTTGTTTACGCTACATTGTACCTAAAGAAAAATGTTTTAAAAGTTTTTTTAACACCATCTGTGTGTATTTATTTTCAAGGTTTTTTTAGTACTTGGTCAATCAAATAGCTTAAATAGATACTTTTTTAATGGCAATATTTCTTGATTGGCATTAGACTAAATTGTTTTACTCAAACATGTATTTTTTCCCAAATCAAAACGATCTCATGGATTAAACCGTTTAAATCATGTCCTTTTGAAGTGACCTTCAACTTGAATTTGTATCATAGCCTTGAGTTGGAAAATGATGTCCACAAAAATGATATTTTTTTCCTACCCCCACCCTCACTACTTGTGGGCTTGTGCTAAGGATTAGTCCTACCCCGGCCCGGTCCATGATAAACATTGTTTTCTCAAACAATGTATTGTGTGTCTGCCGTGTTAATAGTGTATCTCGTGTATCTAGTGATTTTTATCTTTTCAGTAAAGTCTGTTACTAAACATTGCAAATAAAGTTTAGAATCAGAATGTGTCGACAAATTTGATCAATTTTTTAAAATTAAAACAGTAAAATCAACGATGGACTTTTGCTTACTTATTAATAATTGTATAGAAATATTATATTATATAATACAAATATTAAATATTATTATATATATATATATATATATATATATATACATATATATATATATATATATATATATATATATATATATATATATATAGGGAGGTGACACCATGTCGAAAAGTTGCAAAATATATAGAAGTAATATGCTTTTTGCCTGTTCAATAAATGTTTAATTGGAGTTAATCCATCTATATTAATAATCGACTATAGATAAACCTCTTTACTATTATATTTACACACTTTAAAACTATCTCCCGAGGGTGGGGGAGGGGAGGGGGTTGGGGGAGAGTGTAACACCTACTACAAAATTCACCGAGGAAAAAAGGTTTTGTTGATTATTTTAAATAACTGATATCAATTAACAACCGGGGAGGGGGTGACACAAAAAAATCAAGTAATTTATGATTAAAATGATGCTTTTTCCACATGAATTAGTTTTGTGGATTAATATAATGCGCGCACAAATTAACGACATTAGTCAAAATGGGAGTGGTGATACCAATTCAATTTTAACTATTTTATAAGCCTATGTAGACCTATATTCAATTATATGTATATATCATAAACATTTTGGGGGTGGGGTGACACCATGAGGTGCCGCATTGAGTGACACCCGACCTAGCGACGCCACTGTATATCATGATTACGTAAACCACAAATATAAAGTTACGAAACTTTAATGACAACACTGAATTGCTTTCCTATTAGCCACCTTTCGCAAGATTTATTATAGCCACAACTGAAAACACTAATTTTATTTCTTATTAGACACTTTTCAAAAGACTAATGGTCGCAACTTTAATGAAACAATTGATTAGCTTTCTTGTCAGCCACTTTTAATGAGATTTATTGTCGCGGGTGTAATGAAAACAATGATCACCTGTCTTGTTAGCCAACTTTAACACGATTTATAGTGTAATTATTTAATTCAACTTTCATCGTGATCGATTGTTTTTCTAAAGTGTAAACACAAATGAAGCGTTTGTATTGATAAATTGTGTTGTTTTTTAATCCTGAGTTACACCCACAATAAATCAATGCTACGAACAAACAACAAAAGCTTTTTGGTATAACACTGAGCAGGCTTTAGTGATACGAAAAGAATGTACACAAAACCATTATATGTATACTAAAGTAATCACTGAAACCGCTTGCATTCTCAATAAATTTTAATAAAATATATGTCATTTCAAATTGTTTATTTTTTATTTTTAACTCATGCTTTTTACAATCTTTTTTAACGCTTCCTCTGTCTGTCGTCAGTCTGTCGACAGTCTGTCTGCAGTGTTTCTTCCAGACTTTTTTCTCCGGGGGGGCACTTGAAATTTTCGGGGGGGGGGGGGTAGACTTTCTTCGGGGAGGGGGGGCGGACACTGTTAAAAGTATATATTTTCTATATAAATTATATAAATTTCATTTCGTTCGGGGGGGAGGGGGGCGGTAAAAAAGAGATGCCTGGAAGAAACTCTGTCTGTCTGTCGTCATAGATCGAAACGCGCAAGCGAAATTTCGGGCACTTCTAACTGACAGATTCGATTAAAGCAGGGGTCTCCAAACTTTTCAGTCCGAGGGCCGCATTAACTATCAAATTTCAGTTCGAGGGCCAGTTTCTTCCAGGCATGTCGTGATTTTTCTGGGCAAAGTTCCTCAGCCATCACCAACAAACGTTTTTTCATTGGACAAAAAGATCTCCGCGGGCCGGATGAGAGGACTTCGCGGGCCGCATCCGGCCCGCGGGCCATAGTTTGGAGACCCCTGTATTAAAGCATATTTTCAGACTTCTTAGAATGTATTCATTTAAAATAGTTATAAATAAATACAGACGTTGTAGATCTTTTGGTGAGTGTTACAATAGGAAAATAGCTTTTTTCTTCTCTTGGCTAAATTAAATCTTTTTTTTTCGAGCCTTTAGCCCCTTTCCTCACAAGTCCTAAAACATCATCTACATAATGTATCCGTGGTGTTAAAATGAGTTACGACGGTGGAGGTGGCATGTTGCGCAATAAAAAAAGTATTTAAAGAGGGACAAGAAATGTTGATCAACTGTAGTTCTTGTAGCTACGCTGACATCATGTCTCTTCTGTTCTATATAACAGTAAGTAGAGCATCATAGTTTAGCTTTTAACACGTATTAGTGTACAGTATGTTGATACCGGGCGTATATTGCATATATATATATATATATATATATGTGACCTAGGCTAGTTGCATCTTTCCTGTTCGCAACGCCAAATGTGACCTTCCCCGAGTCTATCCTGCCCGACAACGCCAATTGTAACGAGTTGAACCACTCATGCTACACAACATCGACTACAGTAGAAAGACTCGAAGATGCAGGTTCGCTATTGATCCTTTTATTACATGAATCAAGAAATGCTTCAATATAACACAATGAATCAACAGAAATGTTTCACAATAATAGTCTGAATCAACTGACCCCCTAACAGTCCTCACTAGGCTTCATATAACTGAATCCACATGTCTATTGTCCTTCTTAACACAATATAACCAACTTGAGTATGTCACACAGACTGACTGATCTAAAGCAAGCGATGAAGCTGGAAGAGCGGTAAGAGCCGTAAGAGAGAACGAGTTCAGTCGTCCCCTCCTATTTATGCCTTGTATCCGTACTCGTCTGCATACTTGTGTTCCTCCGTAATCGATACTTGTACTCGATGTCTCCGACCACCAGTTACGCAGTTCTAGCGTACAGTCCGTGAAATAACATCTGCATCCTATCAATCAAAGTTGACAGGCCTTCTGACTCTCTTCGTACCGTTTCCCAAAATAGCACGCGTTGGCTTTGAGATTGTTATCAGTCCGCTCCAATAAGCCACCTGCTATGTTGCGTCAGACTGTAATACTGCGTCTCGGCTTATCGTTCGTTATCAGATTTGTAACTAGTGGCTAGGCCTACCCTAGTCACATCTATATATATATATATATATATATATATATATATATATATATATATATATTACTATGTGCAGATGTATTTAGTAACAATTACCTTTACTTTCAAAAATACTTAGGTGTTTGCTGTGGTGCTTCGGGTGAGCTTAACCTTTTTGTTGTTGTCTTTAAAGTATTTTCTAAAACTGTTTTGAGTCATGAAGTTGATCAAAGTAGATTTAGGTCTACTAGAGATTCCGCCAGGTTTTTGTTTATAAATTCCAAATTTTAAGCTTGAATGAGGTTTTATTGTCAAATATATCTATATAATAATTATAAATTTAATTTTCATAATTTTTTTTTTAACGATACGAACGATGGGAAAATTGCACTATACTACAACTTGGTTAAACTACATATTCTCAAAAGGCGCTGTTTTATTTAATGCTACCCTCTTAATTTACCTAACCTTTTTAAATTACTTAAAATTCAAACAACAACGATCACTTCACTATATAGGTAAATGGAGAAGGCATACGAGAGACCAAGAACTCCACTGATATGGGAAGCGTGATCATCAAAGACGGGAGAGAAGAAGACACATCCTTTCTCCAGCTACGTGACATTAAGGTATGATCAGTGCCGGCGCCAGGTTTTTTAGCGCCCTAGGCAAAACTTATTAAAACGCCCCCTTTCACACACATAAATTACTAAAACATATGTATAAGAAAACAATTAATTAAAAATGACATATTAATTTATTATCCATTGCATACTTGTCTCCTACGTCTCATAGCCCACCTCCCCCCCCCCTTAGAAAATTTTAAGTGCTCCCCCACCCTCACGGAAAAATAAAAGGTAATAAATGTTATAGATTTCAAACTAAAATTGTTATTTATGAATCATTTTGGAGAGGGTGAAAATATGGAAAGACAATTAATTAGATGTTTAATTTACGACTAAGACTGTATGTCTACTAACATTAAGTACTGCAATCTACAACGGCTAGTGATGTATTTGTTTTTCAACTTGATAATGCTAAAAAAAATACCAAACTATTTTGTTTAGAACTTAAGCTCTATATAATTTTTACAATAGCAAATAATAACTTAAAGTTGTATTTATATGTAAGCGGTCAACCTACGGTGCAGGAATTTGAAATGAATGTAAAGTTAAGCAACGAATTATCTCCCATTTGAAAATCCAAATAACACAATTTTATTCAAGGGAAATAACTTTCACAAGAATAGCTAAATTAACCAAGTGTAACTAAGACATGTTTGAAAAACACAATAAAACGCTCTAAATTTCATTACGTAATAATTATAACAAATCTTTTATATTATCTATATAACCTTGTGAAAACAATATATTTTACATGTTGAATACTTAACTGTAGGTTTTGTTTGAAAGTCTAAAAATGGTAGCTTTATAACATACTTCTATTCAATTTTGATGACATACATTAAATGAACTGCTTTAAACATTGAGACATAAAAATTTTGGATCCCCCAAATAAAGGGACGACTTTCAGAAAATCAAACACATTTAGACAATGTTAGATGTATTGATTAAATATATAAAGAAATAATTTTAAAAAAAATTACAGTTAGTTATAAATTCCATCCTTTTTAATATTATATATTAATACTTTAAGAGTGGTAATATAGATTCCTAAAAATCTAAAGATTTTTCAACTAGAGATCGCCTACCTTTTCTTTGTAGTGTGTTCCTTACTGCATTGAAGTCATCTAACTTACGATCAATTCGACTACTCGATATAGGCCTACTCTACTACATTCACAACACATATCAAACTTCGATACCTAAACATAACTAGACTCGATGCTCCAGAACTACGACACCAACTCGTTTAACTTCACCGAGCTCTACAAACGATTTCACTGGACCTACTACTACACTTTAACAGTCAATATAATTCGATACCTTAATACCAAAAGAATCAATACTCCCGAACTCCAGAACTACGATACTTCATCACCTGCGTTCTCATTTCTCTATTACCAATCAGATTCCACTAGACCTTCAACTACAGAACAGCCGAATAAAAATTACGACACTTTAACACTTCGGTACCTTATACCTACGAAACCTTATCAGCAACAGCCTTCCACCGTTACTCCCAAATCTAAACGATTCATCAAAACTTACCAAACAAGTACAATACTTTAAACACCCCGTCATTACAAAACTTTATACACCAGGACAGATTTCTAATTCAAAGTAAGAGAAAACGATAATTACAGGCCCTATTAAAATTAGATAACCGTTTGAAATGTTCGAAATTTAAAGTATGAACTTATTTAATCGTTTTCTACATCAATTATGTGACATCAAATTAAAAAGGCAAAGTGACTGGTAAAAAACGCCCCGACCTTTCCGAATTAGGGAGGTGGGGTTGCATTTCACCAACGCGAACAAATTTTGGGGTGGGGGCGCAATATTGATAGTTCGCTCTGGGTGCCGAAATCAATCGCTACTCCTTTATAAAAGTTATTAATTATTATGTACTTTTAGATAATAGCGATTAAACCTTTTGCGCCCCCCTAGGGATGGCGCCCTAAGCGACCGCCTAGTTCGCCTTATAGGTAGCGCCGGCCATGGGTATGAATGATTGCTTGAATTTTTTAAATTAATTAAATTTAAACGTATTTATAACACATTTTATGTACACATGTTATTTTTCTGCACTCGTTTTCAATATTAACTTTAATTATGCCAAACCTTAACATTTTAAAATATTTTTATGAATGAGACGGCGTGGCGTAGCGGTAGAGTAGTAGAAAATATTGAGTTCGAATCCGGTGTCTGATGGGTGCCTTATTCAAGTTATGGAAAGTACTATACATTTCTAGAAATAAAAACACATCGCAGCAAGTTAATGTTATATGAAAACATCTTACCTACGAAAAGTGTATGCTTTCTTGATGCATTTTTTTCCTTGACATTTTAGTATACATGTCGCAGGTGTAATGGTCATACTAGCTTTTTTTTTTAAATGTTGGTATTTTAGCATTCTTCCTTACCAAGGCGTAAAATTCAGGTTTTGATGGAGAAAAAATACACAATGAAAATTTCAGTCTGCGATTTCCCCTTTTCAATTTTCTGCGCCTCTTGGACAAAACCAGTCCACGCTTGGTTAAGACCGTTTTAATAAAAACATTCGCTTTTAAATTAAAAAGTTATGTTAAAAATCTATGGCTTAGAATACTTAGATGTTATGCTATTGTTTTGTAATATCTGAATTAAGATGTTTACCCTCACTTTTGTATTTTAAAACTTACGCCAAAAATAATCTATATATATAATTCTCTTCTTCGAGCCGTTAGAAAACAAGCTGCAAACGCTCTCCCTACCTCCCCACCCCTACATGGTTTTAGTGAGCTGTGTTCACTCTAAATGTTTACAAGCAGAGCCAACGATTTTAAACGTAGGGGGGGGGGGGAGGAGGGGGGAGGGAAGGAAGGGGGGGGGGGGGGGTTATGGTCCTTAACGAGCTACTTATAGTGTTTTAAAGAAATATTTTCAGTGTCAGCGTTGGTACTGTCGAATTCACAAATTATGAATTATTGAAAATTAGAAACAACTAAATAGCGGCGTATGTTATGCCGCGGGCCGGCTCGTAGTTTATTATTTAAGCTAATATCATGTATTTATAAAAATTATTTTTGATTGTTTGTCTACAGAGTCAAGCGCGTAAGTATATGGTATATGATTATAATCTCGGCATACAGAGCTTAAGGTAATTTGGTTGAATGAAGCAATAGATTCAGAGTTTATCTTTTACTAAGACTAATGCAATCAGACCAGGTAAAAATTGTGTCCATTAAAATTTAAGTACTATTTTCTTATCGATCAAATGTTTATTTTTGTAGCTTATTTGTACACAACGGGTAAAAAAAATATGTTAATTAAATTTTACTACTCTTTTCTAATCAATTAAATATTTATTTGTGTAGCTTATTTGTGCATAACTAAACCTGTAACTAATAAATATGTATGGCCACAAATTAGTGTATGTGAGTTTGGTGAACGAACTCACTGGAAGTGATTTTTATATGTGCGTCCACTCCCCGAAAGTTTTAAGTGCTTCCCACCCACCCATCCATCCACCCACCACGTAAATACGATTGATAGCAAGAAATTCATGAATTTCGTTATTATTTACTCAGCTCTGATGAGTACCTGGTATGGTTAGGGAATGTAAAGACTGCTGAATATTGAACTGGCTACACTGTCAGCGTATTTCACATTCATATTTTGTTCATGTTACTGACATACAGCAGCAACGACATAACGTGTATTTAACCTACATATTGTTACATTTTTCTGACTTACAGTAGCAACTACTAACTACATAACGTGTATTTAATGTAGGCTACATATTGTTACATTTTTCTGACATACAGTAGCAGCTACATTACGTGTATTTAATGTACATATTGTTAAATTTTTCTGACATAACGTAACAATAACATAACATATATTTGATATACCGATTGTTTAATTTTTTTTACGCAGGAAAGCTCGTCATCAAAAAACTAGTACAGTCATGCCCAACTCCAGAGACTTGTAGAGATGTGGTTAGCTCTCAGCCCAGACCTGTGGTCATCCTGTCAAGTGGACTTGAGGTGATGTGTGACACACAGACAGACGGAGGAGGATGGACGGTGATTCAAAGAAGATTCAACGGACAAACAAATTTCTATCGTGGCTGGGAAGAATACAAATATGGGTTTGGAGATTTCGATGTAGGAGAATTTTGGCTGGGCAACGACAACATACACCGTCTGACGTCACTTAGGCGATACGAGCTGAGGGTCGATTTTAAATTTAACAACACGGACTACTTCGCGCAATATTCAAGCTTTCGTGTGTATGGAGAGCAGGAAAGATATAGGTTAAAGGTCAGCGGTTACTTGGGAACCGCAGGAGATAGTCTGACTGACAAACACAACAACCTGACGTTCTCAACATTCGACAAGGACAATGATTTATACTACGGAAACTGTGCACAGATTTTTCACGGGGCCTGGTGGTACTGCGCCTGTCACCACGTCAATTTGAACGGACTTTGGGGGAGCACTGAATTCGGGAAGGGAGTTATCTGGAAATTAAAGACAAATCTATATGCATCTGCTACTTTCACAGAGATGAAAATACGACCAATTGAATAAAATAATCTAACATTTTAAATAAAGAAAACCCTTGGAAATTTAAAATTGCAACAATAAAATGCTTGAAAAATATATCTTTAGGTTCTTCTTTTTCGTTCTAGGGGTCATTCATAAATGGCGTGACGCGCTTTTTTTTTACAATTTTTACCTCTCCCTCCGTCACACATCGTCACAAAAAACCAGACCCCCTCCCCCTAAAATAACGTCACATCTCAGCTTACAACCCCCTAAAAACTGCAGTTGAACTCTTGTCAACATAGAATCAATTTCTATTTCAATTATTAAAACTGTTTTCTAAAACGCGAAATAACGGCTAAAATTCGTTTTCTAACATTGCTTTTTTATAATGCAAAAGTGTGACGTCACCCAATCTGAACCTCCCTCCCCTTCATCACACACCGTCACAAAGTTACGGACCCCCCCCCCCCCCCCCCCCGCCCTTTCGAGTGTGACGTCATTTATGGACGACACATTATTTGTAATATTAGAAGAAATTTCTTCAACATCAATAAGTGTTATGTGTTTACATGCTATGCTCAATATCAGTATATGGCCCGTTGACCCCGACTTCAGCCTGGCTCACTTACTTGATTAGCTCCCTTAGCATTTGTCTACCAAAGAACAATCTGCAGGGCAGCTTTTCTTGATTTTAGAGGTTTCTCTTCTAGATGTGTTGCTGTCCCCAGCTATCGAGCCTCATCTGCACAGTGTCCGAACCAGAAGCGTCGCGAGGAGGGGGCGGGGAGTGCAGACCGCACCGGGTGACACCATTTAGGGGGTGACACCAAGACCAAAAAATAGCAAAATATATAGATCAAAAATTGTTTTTGCCAGTTAATTAATGCTCAATTAGAGTGAAATAGTCTTTTAAATACAAATCCCGACCAATTTTCGGGGGGGGGGGGGGGGCGGCAAACATTTCCGGGGAGGGGGGGGGGGGAGGGCGGACACATAAACATCGTTACTGTGAACTGTACACACTGAAAAGCTATCACTCAATGGTGACAACAACTGCAAAATTTACAGAGGAAAAGATGTTAAGTTGAATATTTTCAGTTACTGGTAATTAAACTCAATTAAAGACCAGGGTGGGGGTGTCACCATATCTAATAATTTAATATGATACGTTGCTTTATATATATATATATATATATATATATATATATATATATATATATATATATATATATATATATATATATATATATATAGCTTTTACTTTTTTTATTTGGTGGGGGGGGGGGGGGGCGACACCATGAGGTTCCGCACCTGGTGAGACCCGACCTAGCGACGCCACTGGTCCTCACTATTAAGGGAGGAGGGTAGATTCACTCAAGGGGTTCACACAATGGGGCGACTGGGGCGGTTGTAGTGTGGACAAACCAGAGCTCTACAAATAAGAAGTACCCACGCTGGCTTTGTTTAAACTCAATTTTAGAAAACAATGTTATACATCCGTTATTACAGCATTCATGAGAAATCCTCTTAAAATTTTTGCTTCAGTTTGGTGAGTTGGACTATATTTGAATATTATATTTTAATATAAATGAGAACTAGATCTCTAGATCTATGTAGGCTAGATATCTAAATTGAATGTTATCATGGCGACTGTCATTGATAATACTTTCTTCTGAGATCGCAGCAACGCACAATGGGTACGCAAATTTGCTATTTTTTTTAAAGGCAAGTGTATTTTCATGTCTACCTCTCCCAATTTTTTAAGGTCAAGTGCATTCGTATTAAGAAGAAATGTAGAATCTAGAGACCCTCTGAAATTTGAATTTTATTGTGTTTTTGTTTCGTTTTAGAAGTTTTTGTTTTGACTCAACCCTGCTCCTAATTTTTAGACGCTTATTAAGATGGCGGTGAGTTGCTGCTAATAATTTGTACACATTAAATTTTACTTTAAACGGGTGCTTTTAAAATTTTAGTAATTCATATTTATTCGGGATTGGGTTTAAAAGATATATTTGTGAGTACTTGTAGATCTAGAAATCAACTGTCAGGTTGCCAATCATCGAATCTAATACTAACTAATTTAGCAAATTTTTTCCAGTCCGTCACAACGCAAGTTCAAGTACTCCAGTACAAGTCACAAATCAATGAATTTTCAATTTTGTGTTAGATCTATGTAGATTTAGTTAGATCTAGAATCTTATTAAGTTAGGTCTAGTCTAGAATCTAGTACTGTACTCAGTGTGTGCTGAAATACTCAATGCTAGATCTAGGTCAGTGTCACAACTTCTGGGTTTGTTTTTTATTTTGGCTGATTCTTACCGGAAAAAGACATGCATGTGTAATGGAGAAAAACTTCCACCTTCATTTGCAGCAATTTTTTCTATGGTACTGCGCATGTGTTTACAAACAAACCGCAGAATCCTAGCCTAGCTATTGAGGTCACTGCGCATGTGCAGAACTATTGAGTTTTGAATTGTAGGCCTATGCCAAAAATCTTTTTCCGAGTTTTATTTCATATCCATCTCCAGGCCATAGTGCTCAAAGCGCATTAAGATAATGGCCTGTTTCATGAAGTCAAGGGGTAGAGGGATAAAACTAATAATTTTGAAGTTATTGTCAATTTTAGCAATCGGAACTACCCATTTCTATTTAAGTCTGTTAATTAAGAAATGTCAGGTGTACTTTTGACCTCATTTTTTATCTCGCAAGCTGCATTTTAGTGAAAGGTCATCTCTGGGATTACTGAAATATTAGGTGATCTTGATGAATCTCATTGATATTTTAATGTGAGACTAGTTCTATAAGTCTACATAAATAATGACAGCTGGAATGAATTATGTCAGAAAAAAATGTGTATATCGGAAGTATTGTAATCATGCTGAAATATCCTATATTTTGACAGTTTTTGCAGATTTGATCAGCTATTAAAAAACAATTTAAAGACTGTTACATGTTGTTTATTATGTTACAGAATATGAATCCAGCTGGAATGGGAATGCCAGGCACAATGATGCCTGCGTTTGGAATGCCTGTAAGTAAACGTTTTTTTTCAATGCTGTGCATTTATAATCCACTATTGATTTGTATTAGTACACACCCACTTCAAAATTTAAGCTTTATTTCTTAACAGTAACATCCTTTAATTATGTTAAAGCTTTATTATTTTGATAGGCCTACTTGTTTTACAGGTTGCTAGTGGTATACCCCCTGGATTGCCTCCACAGCCATATATTGCTCCTGTATTGGATCCTGTGACAGGTTACTAAAAGCTTAAGCTAAAACAAAATAAAATTGCGAATTTGTATCATAGCTGATTTATAATTTGTACAGCATTTTTATATTGCTATTGTGAATTTGTATAATATTATGAAAGATAATTCTTGTACTGTTTTATGCCAGGTTTCCATGCTTCACCTCTTTACAATGCAAGTCCTCTGGCAACTTTTCCACCCAATGCTATTCCAACGCCAATGGGAATACCACCTCAAATGTTTCCAGGTCACTTTATGTATAATTTGCCATAGATATTAGTCAAACGTTATATAATTTAGTTTCTGTGTGTGTGTATGAATGTGTGTGTGTTTGTCATTATGACATTTCTTTACATATTGTTCTTCTTAAAAAGATAATCTCTTGTTTTTAGTTGATGGTGATAAATCTTTTGTGGGTTCCCCAGGTCAAGAAAAGGTTAGTATACATTTTATGATTAGTGTAAAATATGTTTGTATATATAGAAGTATTGATATCAGTTGTTTTTTTTTATGTATATCAAGAAAATTGAATCTCTGCATATAACTTTCATTTTTTTTTAGCTAACTGCATTTCAGGAATTTTTTTTCATTTTGCATCTTAATTTATTCTTTTTGTATACTGAGTATCATTTATGTGTTTTAAAAGACCTAATATACTTTTCATCTAATCAAAAGGTTAATAAGCTTAGTAATTAATTTTTTATCAGCATGTGCTTTATAAATCTGTCTAGCAGTAACTATTGTTTTCTCTATACAGAAAACAGCTTGGGGTGAGCACAAAGCCCCTGATGGAAGAACATATTACTACAACAGTGTAACTAAAGAATCCAGCTGGGAAAAGCCAGAGGAACTCAAAACTCCTCAAGAGGTGGGTAACATTACTGTTATTATCAATGCAATTGTCAACAATATCACAATCATTTTTAACCCTGTTCCTGTTGTAGATGCCCTGACATTTTATGTTTGTCTTCTGTAGAAGGTCTGACATTAACTGTTAACAAACCCATTGGCATTCATGTTTGTTTAAATCTTGAGAGTAGCATAGATTTCCTGACATTAATGTTAATGAAATTGTTGAAAGCTACATTTTTATTGTATCATGTGTTTGCTGTAAATGCTGTGATAGTTAATTTGTTTGATTACTGGTTTTTTTTAGAGACTTTTGTCCCAGTGTCCATGGAAAGAATACAAATCTGATGCTGGTAAAATTTATTTCCACAATGCCGTTACTAAAGAAAGCAGGTGGACAAAACCAAAAGAGTTGGAAGAACTTGAAGGTAACTAAATTAGAATTTTATAAAATTTTATACAAACTAAATCTTTTTGGCTAAATTTGTTCTTATTTATTTCAAGAAAGTTTAAATTTATTAATTCGTTTTTATATTTATTCAGCAATGATCGCAGCAAGTGCTGCAATACAACCGTAAGTATATTATTATTTTTTTTATATTCTTTAATTTGTTCAGTACAAATTGTTAAAAGCAAGTAATACTTTCAATTAATTAAGCTTAATTATAATTAATAAACTATGCAATTAATAAAATACAGGAATAAGCTTGCTAAAGTAATTGAAATACGTACCTAACATTAACAAACTATTTAAAATCAGCTCCTCCAGCCCATCACTGACAAAGTCTGAGCCTTCCTCTGCTATTGAGCAGGCAATGCAAGCAACTTTAGCCTCGATTGAACTACCACCACCTCCAACTAATGCAGCTCCTGTTCATCAAGTTCCAGATGCACCATCAGAACCAATGTAGGTTTTATCACATACTTTACCATTCAAAATTTGTTAGATTCAATATACTTTTTTAATAGGCAGGCCATTATCCTATATATCTCACAGACACATAACTGTTTATAATTCAGCCCAGCACAAATAATCTCAAGTTTTTCTTTTTACCTGTTAAAATACTGCACTTTCAAACTCTTCTGTGACTTTTGTTAAGCTGTATGTAATATACTTGTGCATGTTTATTTGTAGCTTTGTTTTTGGTGACAAGTTGATATAAATAAACAACAAACAGTCATTAACAACAAATCTTTTTAAAAAATAATTTAGTTCAAACTTAGAACTCCAACATTTCATCTACTTGTTACTTTTGTTTTAGTATTGAAGAGAAAGAAGAGCCCCAGAAGAAAGAAGTTTATGTTTTCAAGAACAAGAAGGAGGCTATTGAAGCTTTTAAATGTTTGCTCAAAGAAAAGGTTTGTCTACATTTTAGTTAGATCCTACAAATTTAGACAACGTTTTTTATGTAATACAACTTTAAACCCATTCATATTGTTGAATTTTTGTTGTGCTATAATTTAGAAAGTATACATCACGGGTTCCCAACCTGGGGGTCGCGACCCCCTTGGGGGTCGCGAAAGGCTTTCTGGGGGGTCGCCAACTGGTATACTAAACCTTAGTAATTTGAAACAAAACATATATATTTAGAAGAATTTTTTAAATTCGGCTTTACTAACATCACTGGAAAAGGAATAGAGAAGAAGCAAAGCGTACTGTACAAAGTTGTTCTCAGTCACGAGTTTATGAAATCTTCAAAACTAAAACGTTATTTGAGAAGAGTCATTCGAAACACACCAAAAAAGATATGGAGTTCTTTCGTCGGTATGAAGCTAGTTGCAAACGTCAGAGACTTGATCGAACAGAACGTTTTCACCAAGGAAACACAGCATTAGTGCAAGCATCACATGAAGTCGCGACTGAAAATGCCAAGCAAAAAAAAAACACATTAGGAGAAAATCTCATCAAACGCTGCATGTTGAAGATGGTGAAGTTAATTCTTACATGTTCGTAAATGTTAAATAACACATTTTTATTGTAATTAAGCTTTCACCATTGTTTGCTTTTCAAGTTGATAAATCAACAGTCGTAGTTCGTGTTCGCAGTTGCTGGTCTTTGTCTATATTCATTCAGATGATAGCAAAGAAGAGTTGCTCTTTTGTGAAGATAGCATGGAGAAAATAATATTTTTTTTTTTAATTGGATGATTAAAATGGGTTAAAACGGCTGTGAGGGCTTGTGCGGATGGTGCACCATCTATGTTTAGGTCAAAATCGGGCTTTCAGAAAGCAGAAAAGATTTCGCCCCCTAACCACTACCCTCACCAATCGCCATCAAGACTCCATTGCTGGTATAAGTGGTAAATTATATAAAATCTGGAGCCTTCAAAGAACTGAGCAAAAACATTAATATAGATCACAAGGTTCTGCTCTTCTACACTACAGTGCGCTGGCTGTAAAAAAAAGAATTGTTGTGAATCGTGTTTTTGAATTGAAATCTGAAATCAAATTGTTCTTGGAGAAATGCAAAGGAAACAAGACCTTTTGGTATACTTAAAACGACATAGAGTGGTTGGAGAGAGTATCATACCTAGCAGATGTGTTCGAACATCAACATAAGCATAACCTGAAGCTTCAGGGGAAATTAACGAATATTATCACTTTCCATGATTATCTCGGGGCATTTTATCAAAGCTGCAAAATCGGCAAAGAAAATAAATCTTGGAAATATTGTAAATTTGAGAAACTCTGCAGTGTGGTAGATGAATCTAATTGTGAGATAGTTAAGATTTTGAAAGAAGAAATTTCTGGGCATCTTGAATCTCTTGAAAACGAACTGCAGCGCTATTTCTCTGAGCTGAAAAAAAAAGAATCTGCATTGACGCATTACCCATTCTCTTTTTCCCTCGATGTTGCCAGCATTCCCGATGAATTACAAGATGAATTCTTTGATTTGTAGAATGATTCCGCGTAAGATAAAAAACTGCACACTCAATTTTGTGTAGTATTCACCATTCATACCCAAACGTAAAATTGATTGACTTTTCGAAAATAGATTTTCAACACTATTTTTCGATTAAAAACAAAATTAAGATAATGATAATGACATATGTTAGCGTTAACAAAAAAAATACTTAAAAAAATTAACCGCGAATGTTTAGTGAATAGTATGCAATTTTACTCATGGTATTAAAACAGTTATCAAGAGTAGTTCATATTGAAAGTCTACCAAAAAATCTTATTTTAGTGCTTATTGATTTCCATAATAATTTCGGCTTTTTAATTCTATGGGGGGTCGCGGGTCACTTAATTTTTATAAAAGGGGGTCGCCACTCGAAAAAGGTTGGGAACCACTGGTATACATGTATCTATTTGTAATAGTTACATATTTTTTCCCATGAATTAGGAAGTGCCTTCAACTGCTAGCTGGGAAAGTGCTATGAAGCTGATTATTAATGATGCAAGATATGGTGCGCTGAAACACCTGAATGAGAAAAAACAAGCCTTCAATGAGTACAAAACACAGAGAGCAAAAGAAGAAAAGGTATAGAACATGTGTGCTACTAGTTCTGCTTTGTTCAATAATTTTTCTTAAACAAAATTCAGGCTCATCTAATATGAAAGTACAGTATCATTGAGTGTTTATGTATTTAAAATGTTCTAGGAGGAACAAAGGTTGCGTGCAAAACAAGCAAAAGAAGATTTAGAACAATTTCTGATGAATAGTGAGAAAATGAACTCATCAATCAAATATTGGTAAGTTATAATTCATCTTCATCACATTGTATTCTGACCAATGATTAATGATTGTTAAAGAAGTTTTTTAGTGGATGGAACTTTTTTAAAATTCTGACTTAACTTCAGCAATTCTGATTTGGCTATCCTTACTATATTTTAGCTATCATTACTATATTTTAGCTATACTTAATATATTTTGACTACCCTTACTATATTTTGGCCATCCTTACTATATTTTGGTTATCCTTACTATATTTTCATTCCATTGTAAAAACAGGAAAGCTGACACCATATTTGGTGAAGATGAAGCTTGGAAAAATGTATCGGAGAGAGACAGAAGAGATTTGTTTGATGATGTGGTTCATTTAATTGCCAAGAGAGAAAAGGTATTTGTTTTCTAATACAAAACTAACACCGGGTATTTAATGACTTGGTGGATTATTATTTTTTAGCTATTAAACAATGACATTGCGCCTTGTCATGTGTTCATTCTAAAAGTGTTGTTAAAATTGTTTTAATATGTGCTGTTGTTAGATTTATTGGTGCTGCTTTTTTTTATGAATATGTTGGTGAAAGTTGTTTGTCGTAGAATTAAGTAAATTTTATCATACATATCTATTTTCACAGGAGGATGCTAAAGTGTTAAGAAAGCGCAACATCAAAGTGTTTTCCGAGATATTGGATAGCATGCCTAATCTAACCTTCACAACTACATGGTCTGAGGCACAACAGATGCTACTTGATAACCCTCGCTTCACAGAAGATCCTGACTTGGAAAGTAAGTTATTGTTGTTTAGATAGTTGATTATATTTGTTGGTTGTTAAAGGTACAAATACTTACCTATCTAATCTTTCACTTTCAGATATGGATAAAGAAGATGCACTTGTTTGCTTTGAGGAACACATTAGAATGTTGGAGCAAGAGAATGATGATGAGAAAGAAAGAGAGAGGAGAAGAATAAAAAGAAACCAAAGAAAGAACAGAGAAAGTTTCCTTGTGAGTAATGCATCCTTTAAATTATTTTAAACTTGTAAATCACACGAGAACAGAAATAAATATTTTGAAATGTGATTATCTTGTAGGTTTTGTTGGATGAGTTACACCACCAAGGGAAGCTGAATTCTATGTCGCTTTGGATGGATCTTTTTCCAATCATCAGCCAGGACATGAGATTTGGCAGCATGCTAGGTCAGCCTGGGTCCACACCACTTGATCTCTTTAAATTCTATGTTGAAGATCTTAAGTCAAGGTTTCATGATGAGAAGAAAATTGTTAAAGAAATTCTAAAGGTATTTACATGTTTTCTTTTTCTATCTATTAACATTTGTCATGAAACATTTTTTTTTTTAGATTTTTAGATCAGTTCAATTTTTATATCACTTTTTTATCATTGTTTTTTTTTTCACAAATTAATTTTCTTTTTTACCAGTATTTTTTCTGATGAACAGTTTCTAAATCATCATTTAAATTTCAAGGAATTTAAAAAAAATTACCTTATTATAAGTATATTAGCAGTTGTTTTTCTATCAATGTTATAGACCTTTAGGTACTGCAAGTGTCCCATTGACCAGTCACCTCCATTCCTCTATTGTCTACTTCCATTATTTTTGTCTCAGTGCCATATTAACATGTGTTACACATTTATTTTTAAATGATCTACTAGGACAAAGGATTCTATATTGAAATATCTACAACCTATGAAAGCTTCAGCACAACTATATTGAGTGACAAAAGATCAGCCAATCTTGACAGTGGAAACATCAAGCTGACCTACAATAGTGTGAGTACATTATTTATTGCAGCTCATTTGTGTATTTTCCTAATAAAATCAGTGTCTTTGACTTGCCCAATTTTATTCATACGTAACTATCTATATATATAATTCTCTTCTGGGAGCCGTTAGAAAACAAGCTGCAAGCGCGCGCCTTGCAGTCCCTTCTCTTCCTCTCTATCGCTACCACCCCCCACCCCCCCTCACATAGTCAGGTGAGTTGTAGTTCACGCTAAATGTTTAGTTTGGTGACGGCTATTAGGGGCAGATAATTCTGTTTGAAACTATTTTAAACTTAGAGGAGGTAACTAAGAGGAGGCTGCTTTCACGGGGGGGGGGGGGGGGAATGGGGTTTTAGTGTTTTAAAGCAATTATTTTCAGTGGCAGCATTGGTACTGTCAAATTCACAAATTATGATTTACTGAAAAGTGGAAAAAACAACTAAATAGCGGCGTATGATACGCCGCGGGTCGGCTCGTAACTAATATTGCCAGAGTTCTCTAGAATATTTTGTATACTAAAATTGAATCATTCTTGTGTGATTTTAATTCTGTACCTATCACATTTTGTTTTTACTACAGCTGCTTGAAAAGGCTGAAGCCAGAGAAAAAGAAAGACTAAAAGAAGAAGCAAGACGAGTATGTTTTAGATTCTTTACTTTCTTAGTAGTAAATGTTAGCACATTTGATTATTTTAAAATACACTTTTAAAAACAATGGTTTACTTAGGTCTGTATGTTTTATGACTTTACTCTCCAGCTGAAGAAATTAGAGGCAGCATTCAAAAGTTTACTAGCAAAGCACAGTATAGACCTAGATACTAAATGGGATGATGTGAGTTGTTGCTGAAATATATTTATCTTGTTCACATTTTCATAGCTTTTTCAATAATATGTTTGCTAATGAAAATAAATGAAATTTATCAGATACGACCAAAATTAGAGCATGATACAGCTTTTGAGAACGTCACATTAGAGGCAGAGAGAATTCGTCTATTTAAGGAGCATCTTATAGCCATAGAGGAGACCTGTTCACATTATCATCCCAAGAAAAAGAAGTCAAAAAAACATAGATCCAGGAGATCAAGGTCTAGGTCTCATTCAGTAAGTAGTGCATTTCCATTAAGTAGTGTATTTCATACTGGAAATGTCCACAGTGGTTGTGTTTTTAGAGTAAAACAGGTTGAACTTCCATTTAAAATCACTACATGATTATGTACCAGCTTTTTTGCATGGTCGTATATTTGATGTGTAAGGTTGACTTTTGTCTAAACACTGCTCTATACTTCTTTATTTACTACTAGAGTGAATCTGATGAAGAAGGCCGTCATCGCTCATCAAAAAAGAAGAAAAGGTATTCAGGCTCTCGATCACCAAGCCAAGGATCTGATTCTGGGAGGTCAAGGGGTAAATATTTTATTGAGCCTCCTAATGCACTTCATTAATAGGATCCATGAACCCCATCACAAGTTATTGTTTAATTTTCATCGTGACGATTTCTTGCATATGTTCAAGTTGTTTGCTTTTTAATTTTTTTATCACTCGTTTAGTATTTTTGTACACTTGATGTTTTTATATGCTTCTATTTAAAGTATTATTTACTTAAAATTATTTAAAATTATAATTTATTTTATTCTTTCTAAATGTCCTAGATGATGATGACAAAGGCTCCAAGAAGCACAAGAAAAGAATAAAGAAAAAGAAACACACATCTAGATCAGTAAGTATTATTACTAGCTTTCTAAATATCTATTTTAAAATGTCTTGCTTTGTGATGATGATATGCAATAAAATGTGTTTATACATGAGGATATGAAACATTCTCTTGTTTACATATTAAAAATGTCTTGCTAACCTCCCAGCCATCCAGATCTGATGTGTCAGACAATGAAAGAGAACGTAGAAGTTCATCCAAGGCCTCCAAGAAAAGAAGGGAAACCCCTGAGCCACCTCCACCCCCTTCAAAGCGAGACAAAGAAAGAAGTTCAAAGGTAACTATCTCAACATGCTAGACCCTAGCATCTCTATAGACAAAATAAGAATTTAATAAAAGAATATTATTCTAGCACTTTTCACACTAACCCTAACAATGTTTAATACTACCTTAGTAACATACAGGGCAGGCAGTAACAAGCTTACCATTAGTTACACTTTCTGTAAGTATTTAAGCTAATGCTTTTCATCCGTTAAAAGATTCGACCCCACTAAACAATGTTGTGAAATTAGCATAGAGCCTAAAATGAATATTTGCCGCCACCTGATAGTAAGTTGACTGTCTGTAAACCAGCTTTAGGTTTGATTGTCTGGTTTCAGCACTTGTCAGCCAGTCACTGGGACAGCTCCGAGGGGGAGATGAGTGAACAGGAGCTTGAGAAACAGAGGAGAATGCTGCTACAGCAGCTACAAGAAAATGCATAAGCACTTGCCTTCCATTTTTCTTTACATCATGGAGATATCAAAATTTTAAATTGTACCATTCAGATATCAAAATTTCAAATCCTACTATGACTTGTAGGACCACCGTTGACTAATTTGTTGATGTAAAAGAAAAATAAGGAAATTTCTAAGTTACAAAATGCTTCATTTTAAAAGTGACAAATCTGAATTTATTCAGCAATAGCATTATTTTAAAAATCCAACTCAACTGCTTCTAATATATGATGCTGAGTTTTAATGTAACATTTTATTTTGTTTTTGATTTATTTTTCATTGAATTACCAATGATGGAATGTCTAAAAGTGGTAAAGGCGTACCACAGTGTGATTGTATTTTCTTGTTCTGTCTGAATATGTAGCCCCTATTTGCTGCGGTAGACATTGCCCCAAGTTTGATGTCAGATGTAGTACCAGTTTGATGTATATGGCTGACAGGTTTGTTGAATGTCAGATGATTGATGTTATCAGTTTGTTTTTATCAAGCTCGTTGATTAATCTGATGTTAATAAATATTTTTACATTAATTTTTTTGATTTGTTGTGTCAAGTATTGTTTAATTAGGTGCATACTTATGCTGCACCTGAACCGTAATATGTAGCTTATTTAATTTGTGTGCAATTTGCTTTAAGTAAACCATCAAGGCCTTTGACAATCTGTGCTGTAAACACCCATCTTTCCCACCTTCATCTTAAAGAATGTCTTACAAAGTCTTGCAACTCAAAATTTCTTACAAATACAGTAGATTTTTTAAAAACATAAATTTCTAAAAGGAACTCCAGAATATCAAACGTTATACTTGTTACTTTCTCGTATACAGAGTATAGAGAATCGTGCACAAAAATCATGAAATTTTGACAGTTTTCACCGTTTTACACCTGAGTCCTTCATCACATCCGGGATATAGAGGACTTATTTTAATCGGGCAAAAATTATAAATCCAGATATATCAAATTTTTGGCGTTGAATGCGTAATCCAGTCGGAAAAACTAGGCTTTGCAATTCTGACTGTATGTGTGTCTTTAAACACGATAAATTGAGTACCCTTTCATTAATAAGTATTTTATCAAATTTGTAGTTCTGTATCAACTTTGCAGCAATTTCCGATAACCGGAAGTGGAACTTTTTCTACTTTGAATTTTTCAAAAGCCTATAACTTGAGTACTATTTCAGATAGATAAATGATATTTCACATGTAAGTAAAAGATCTAATCCTCTGCCTTCTATCAAATTTTGAGTGATTTCCGTTAACCGTAAGTAGTAATTTACGCTTTCTCAAAAAATCGCATTTGAATTTATAAAGTACTAATAATATTAAGCACTATTATACACATACTGTTTTTCGTTCACTTAGTGTTCAATTCTTTTTTCTACGCGATTTTATTCTATTTTAAAAAGTTTAATTAATTAAACATGGATTAAAAATCATGTCTATATCGTGATATAGTGTTATATAAGAATATTCGAGAAATTTTAGGGGAGATCACTCCCTGTTTATGTACTGATACAGGCAATTGATATGGAAGTAGGGCAAGACGTCATATTTTTTTAGAAACCTCAGGCTTTGTGTAGACCATCTGGCGTATGAAAATATCTTGGTACAAAGTTATGTCCCCTTGTTTTAAATCACAACAATTGTTCCCAAGTTCTGTCCCTTGGTTCTAACTGAAGCCCGTTGATACCAAGTTTTGTCCCTTTAGTTCTAAATGAAGATTTTTGGTACCAAGTTCTGCCCCCTGTGTTACTTATTCTGAAGTGTGAATGGAAATTGACATGACAACCCATCGAAGCGTGTCCATTTTTGTCAAGCCTCTGGCGGTAAATTAAATAAAAGCATTTGAAAGAGGAGGCGACTTAAAGTAGTCCCGCAGTAATTGAGTTTCCTGTCATATTTTTGTTTCCATTGGAGACGATGTCCTACTGTCAAGGGGAGGTGACTGTTGGGCTATGGGACATGGTGTGCGGAGAGTTGATTGCCGCTGTGATGGTAAAGCTGTGAGGTGGGTGTTGTGTTAAACGCGGGATTGTGGGGGTGCGGGAATAATTCAGTTGGGAGGGTAAGGGGAAGAATATGGAAATAGAATACAGTGGAAATAGCTGGCTGGTCATTTGGAAACTGGAGAGTGGCTTAAACGCCTTTATTTATAGTAACCTTACATCTAGTATGTGATGGCTAAAGCCTAGCCTTACTCTAAGTACTCTAAGATAGGATCATCGTCCCTTTCTGTAAGGGTTGCATGGCCTCGAACATATTTCTTCTATAACAGTACCCTCTTTAGTCTGCACTACTGTAGCAGTGGTCTCTCCTAGATAAGAAGATATACTTTCTGTAACCAGTTGCCTCCCCTCAAAATAATCTTCCCCCACCCCTGTTACCAATTGGTTAAACTTGAAGATCAGATCTGGCCCTAATTATTGTCCGAATCTAAAGACATTAGAACTTATCCTGATGTGGACACCATAATGATACCACCAAAACGAACATCCCACATACAGAACGACGCTTTATATTCGAGCAACACCAGATTATCGTACAGCACATCCTACACACATGTGGACATCGACCTCACTTATCACATCATCGTGCCATTGTACAGCACATCCTACACACATGTGAACATCGACCTCTTTTATCACATCATCGTGCCATTGTACAGCACATCCTACACACATGAGAACATCGACCTCACTTATCACATCATCGTGCCATTGTACAGCACATCCTACACACATGAGAACATCGACCTCACTTATCACATCATCGTGCCATTGTACAGCACATCCTACACGCATGTGAACATCGACCTCACTTATCACATCATCGTGCCATTGTACAGCACATCCTACACACATGAGAACATCGACCTCACTTATCACATCATCGTGCCATTGTACAGCACATCCTACACACATGAGAACATCGACCTCACTTATCACATCATCGTGCCATTGTACAGCACATCCTACACGCATGTGAACATCGACCTCACTTCTTGGATCATCGTGCCATTGTACATCACATCCTACACACATGAGAACATCGACCTCACTTCTTGGATCATCGTGCCATTGTACAGCACATCCTACACACATGAGAACATCGACCTCACTTCTTGGATCATCGTGCCATTGTACAGCACATCCTACACACATGAGAACATCGACCTCACTTATCACATCATCGTGCCATTGTACAGCACATCCTACACACATGAGAACATCGACCTCACTTATCACATCATCGTGCCATTGTACAGCACATCCTACACACATGAGAACATCGACCTCACTTATCACATCATCGTGCCATTGTACAGCACATCCTACACACATGTGAACATCCACCTCACTTATCACATCATCGTGCCATTGTACAGTACATCCTACACACATGAGAACATCGACCTCACTTCTTAGATCATCGTGCCATTGTACAGCACATCCTACACACATGAGAACATCGACCTCACTTATCACATCATCGTGCCATTGTACAGCACATCCTACACACATGAGAACATCGACCTCACTTATCACATCATCGTGCCATTGTACAGCACATCCTACACACATGAGAACATCGACCTCACTTATCACATCATCGTGCCATTGTACAGCACATCCTACACACATGAGAACATCGACCTCACTTATCACATCATCGTGCCATTGTACAGCACATCCTACACACATGAGAACATCGACCTCACTTATCACATCATCGTGCCATTGTACATCACATCCTACACACATGAGAACATCGACCTCACTTCTTGGATCATCGTGCCATTGTACAGCACATCCTACACACATGAGAACATCGACCTCACTTCTTGGATCATCGTGCCATTGTACAGCACATCCTACACACATGAGAACATCGACCTCACTTATCACATCATCGTGCCATTGTACAGCACATCCTACACACATGAGAACATCGACCTCACTTATCACATCATCGTGCCATTGTACAGCACATCCTACACACATGAGAACATCGACCTCACTTATCACATCATCGTGCCATTGTACAGCACATCCTACACACATGAGAACATCGACCTCACTTATCACATCATCGTGCCATTGTACAGCACATCCTACACACATGAGAACATCGACCTCACTTATCACATCATCGTGCCATTGTACAGCACATCCTACACACATGAGAACATCGACCTCACTTATCACATCATCGTGCCATTGTACATCACATCCTACACACATGAGAACATCGACCTCACTTCTTGGATCATCGTGCCATTGTACAGCACATCCTACACACATGAGAACATCGACCTCACTTCTTGGATCATCGTGCCATTGTACAGCACATCCTACACACATGAGAACATCGACCTCACTTATCACATCATCGTGCCATTGTACAGCACATCCTACACACATGAGAACATCGACCTCACTTATCACATCATCGTGCCATTGTACAGCACATCCTACACACATGTGAACATCCACCTCACTTATCACATCATCGTGCCATTGTACAGCACATCCTACACACATGAGAACATCGACCTCACTTCTTAGATCATCGTGCCATTGTACAGCACATCCTACACACATGAGAACATCGACCTCACTTATCACATCATCGTGCCATTGTACAGCACATCCTACACACATGAGAACATCGACCTCACTTATCACATCATCGTGCCATTGTACAGCACATCCTACACACATGAGAACATCGACCTCACTTATCACATCATCGTGCCATTGTACAGCACATCCTACACACATGAGAACATCGACCTCACTTATCACATCATCGTGCCATTGTACAGCACATCCTACACACATGAGAACATCGACCTCACTTATCACATCATCGTGCCATTGTACAGCACATCCTACACACATGTGAACATCCACCTCACTTATCACATCATCGTGCCATTGTACAGTACATCCTACACACAAGAGAACATCGACCTCACTGCTCTGGTTACAAGAAAGCGACACCTAGTGATCGACCTTGGTGTCGTTGTCCCTGATGGTATCACATGGAGCGGGCGTCACATTACCCGGCATCCATGGTGATCGAATTCAAACACAATTATGGATTTGTTGTAGATGCAATCGCTACAGATCAAACTAGTTTCTAAAGATTACTATATAGATTTCAGTCATTTTTTTAAAGTTTAACCAAGTTAATGTGTTTTTTTAATCATCTCGCATTATTTACTTTGAATGTAGTAGTTGATGTATGACAAAAGATGAACTGAAAGCAGTGTTTTTTTCAGGCATTTCTAGAGGGGGGGGGGCGAAGAAAGTGTACCACCTCCTTCACCTCCCCGAACAAAATGGTTATCTCCCCCACCAGGATAGAAAAATTACGACGCAAAATTGTTTCTAATTGAAAAAAAAGAATACATTGGTGGAGTCGATCAAAGCGCTATTTTAACCGCCCCCCCCCCTTAAAGCAACGGAATGTGGATCAGATAAGAACTTTACTGTGTAGTGTTTGTTTATATTCTTTAACAAACCGACAACTTAAA